TGACGTGAAATTGCTTTTCATGTGTATTTATTCTTGGAGCATCACGTGAGAGAAGTGCTGTTTGTTACCTGCTACTGAGGAAGCAGCGCTCGATGACTTTGATCATGAAGGCCGCAGCTTCCTTCTCGCTCATGTTTGGGTTGAACCGTTGCCTGCCGAACACAATGAACAACATACAGAAATCAACACTGGGCATGACCCGTCAGAAGAACTGGTGGAAAAAAACTGGTAGAAATTCAAAACTCGTTTAATGCTAATTTATGGGGGTGCTGATTCAGAAACACTGACTGGTTCTGTTCTTGAAAATGTGATCTGTTTGTAAAATAACGTTGTTTTGTGTTATTATTTCACAACAGCAAAATAACAACATTGAGATATGACTCTTTTTATAAAGTGTTTCTCAGTTCTCAGGTGATATTTAAATACAGCTGAAGTCACAATTATTAGCCCGTGTTTCTTTTTTAAATATTTCCCAAATGATGTTTAACAGAGCAAGGAAATGTTCACAGTATGTCTGATAATGTTTTTTCTTCTGGAGAAAGTCTTATTTGTTTTATTTCGGCTAGAATAAAAGCAGTTTTTAATTTTTTAAAAGCCATTTTAAAGTCAAAATTATTAGCCCCTTTAAGCTATACATTTTTATGATTGTCTACAGAACAAACCATCGTTATACAATGATTTGCATAATTACTTTAACTTTAACCCAATGAGTTAAATGTCTCTTTAAGCTGAATACTAGTATCTTAAAAAATATAGAGTAAAATATTATTTACTGTCATCATGGCAAAGATAAAATAACTAAGTTATCCGAAATGAGTTATGAAAACTATTATGATTAGAAATGTGTTGAAAAAAATACAGGGGGGCTAATAATTCTGACTTCAGCTGTATATGGCTTTATATTAAGCATAATCCTGATTTCTGGCTTAGACTAAATTAGCAAGCTCAGAAAATGCAAATAATTATGTATATCTGAATACTGGCTGTGTGCTTTTTCTGTTGACATGTTTTGTGTGAACACACAGTCGCTGTGCTTGTCCTTGTGTAATATTTTGTATAAACTCATTTCCGTTATGATCGGGCCAAGCTTGTCTGTGTTATGATATCATTTCCAGTAACGCACTTGAGGAGTTTGATCGTCTGTCCTCTGAAGCAAGGCAACCCCGTGTCCAGCATCAACGTCACCAATGACACGACAGCATCCATGTAGGGCCTGAGAATCAAAACATGCATATGTAAACAATTAAAAACCTCTGACAAACCAGCAAATTGCAAAAAAGCAACCCTATATCATCCTAAAGAGGACCTATTATGCAAATGTCACCTTTATAAGGGGTTTAAACACAGCTGTGTGGCAGTAGAGTGTGAATATAAGCAGCTTCTAATGGTAAAAATATATTAAATATACTTTTTTTAATCACACTTGATGAAAACCGTCTGAGGAAACCCTTTGATTGACATTCTCCCGCTGTACGTGTCATCAGAAGGGGAAAGCCCCGCCCATTGGTGATGATCTCTCCCTCATTAGCATAGGAGGTTAGTCTTGTTTTTTAATCTGCCACTATGCTGGCACACTGGCATTTGTAGCTCCACCCTCTTTTGAAAAAGAGTACAATCACAATTGAATTTAAAGCGACAGCCACCAAAATAGACATTCTTGAGTGAGAAGCAGCCGTCTGCGATTAGTTATCACATCGTATCTGCTGAAGGCAATGTCAGCTCCTCCTTTTTTTAAAAAGAGCACATCTCATTTGAATTTAAAGCGACAGTCACCAAAATGGCACATTTTGGCTCAAAGCCTAAAAGGAGCAGTTTCAACTAGTTATAGATCATTATTTGTGTGGTATTTTGAGCTGAAACTTACACATACGCACTCTAGGGACATCAGAGACTTATTTTACATCTTGTTAAAAAAGGCATGATAGGCCCCCTTTAAAAGATTCGGGTGGTTTGAAGGGAACAGAGAGAAGTCAAAATCCTTCTTAAACCCTTCTGAAATATTGAAGAGCGGCGCATCTCACCTTACAGCCAGGTATCCGCGCACACACATCTCCATGAACCATTTAAATGGTGTAGCCTCCATCTTGCCTCCCATGATCATCACCATCTCATCGGTCAGCTTGATGTCAGGCTCCCAGCCCAGATTCCCACCAGGAGAACTCTCAAACATGAAGCCAAAGTCTACAAAAACATGCAACCTCAGAGTCATTTAAACTTCTCGTAATACATTAAATTAAAAAAATGCAGTATTAATTTAATTCAGACTTAATTAATTGGAGGAACTGAATAATTAAGAGGGTTATATGATGAAAATGTTCCTTGTTTGATGGACTATAGGATATAGAAATTGAGCAGTTATCAGTTATTATTATTAAAACTAATTATAAAATAATAGTCATACAAAATTTGAGTAATTAAGTAATATTAAACTAATAATAAAATTAAATAAATTAAAAAATATAAACAGAAATGTTGCATTGAAAACTGAAATAAGTTTTGTTAAAAAAAACTAAAATTACAAAATAGAAATAAATGATATCCAAAACTTAATTAAAACTATACAAAAAATAATGACAATAAAAAAGACATTTTTAAACTAAATTCATAATGAAAACCAAAAATATCAAAATTAAAGCCATTTCAAAATGCTATTGTAACAATGACAAAAAACAACAAGAAAGTATAAATAAAAGCTCAAATAACTCGAATAAACTAAAAACAACTAAATATAAACTATAAACTAACATAGCACACTCATGGTTAGCTGGGTTATTTAAAATAAAAGAAAGAAAGAAAGAAAGAAAGAAAGAAAGAAAGAAAGAAAGAAAAGAACTGAATAATTAAGAGGTGTATATGATGAAAATGTTCCTTGTTTGATAGACTTTAAGCTATAGAAATTGAGCAGTTATCAGTTATTATTATTAAAAGGAATTATAAAAATGTAATACCATATTTAAATAACAAATATAAAGTAATATTAAAAATTATAATAAACTATAAAGTAAAAATGTAAGTTTAAGTTTTTATAATAACAACAAAGTATAAATAAATACTAAAATAATTTAAATAAACTAAACTAAATATAAACTAAAATAGCCCAAATGGTAAGCCGACCATGGGTCATTCGAAATTAAATAAAGTAAAATGAAAAAATGCAATAAAACAAACAAACAAAACAAAATTAAACAAAACAAAATAAATACAGTAAAACAAAATACAATAAAAGTAAATAAAAAAACAAAACAAAAAACTAAATAAAATAAAATACAAAACATCTAACATTAAAAAAATAAATGAAATAAAATGAAATGAAAATAAAATAAAACAACTTACAATAAATTAAAATAAAACAAAATAAAAATACAACAAAACAAAACAAAACAAATAGCAATTAAAAATAAATTAAAATAAAACAAAATAAAATACAAAACAAATTACAATAAAAATAAATAAAATAAAACAAAATAAAATACAATAAAACAAATTACAATAAAAAATAAAAGAAAACAAAAGAAAATACAACAAAATAAATATAATAAAATAAAACACAACAGAACAAAATAAAACAACAAAACAAATTACAATAAAAAAAACATAATAAAATTGATTAAATTAAATTAAACACAACAAAACAACTAACATTAAAAAAAAAAATAAAACAAAAAAACTCAACAAAACCATGACTCCTATTTTATTAAGTGGACCACATAAAAGTGCTACAAAATAATTGATCTAATTAAAGTCAAAGTAGTCAGGTTTAATCAGACTCACCGATGTGAATGAGATGGCCTTTGCTGTCCAGCATGATGTTGCCGTTGTGTCGGTCTTTGATTTGTAACAGAAAGAGCAGCAGACTGTAAGCAGCCATACTGCGAATGAAGTTATACCGAGCCTAGAAATGAGCAAAAAAAAAAAGAGAAATGTTGAGATAAGAGCCGCATAAACAATTCAGTCCATAAACATCAGCTTTCAGCGCAAAACAGAAATACTTCAATATATGAATCTGTTCATTCAATTATGAAAGGAAAAGTATTACAAGATATTTTGATATGCACATTTAGAGGTTACTTACCCTATCACCAATGTAATTTGAGGTAACTACAATGTAACAATGTAACTAGGTGTCCAAATGTATCCCCTGAAAAGTATTTATGATGGCAGTACCTTTCATTTATTGATTTTTTCTTGTTTTATTTATTTTTTATTTATTTATTTTTATAATATTATTATTTTTTATGCACTCCCTCATCTATAAGGGGTTAAATTGTTGTGGAAGGGGTTGTTCTAAAAAAAAAAAAAAAAAAAAAATATATATATATATATATATATATATATATATATATATATATATATATATATATAATTAAAACCAATTATAAAACAATAATAATAAAAAATTTGAGTAATAAAAAACAAAATAATATTAAACTAATAATAAAATTAATTAAATAAAAAATATAAACAGAAATGTTGCATTGGAAACTGAAATAAGCTTGTTAAAAAAAACTAAATTTACAAAATAGAAATAAATGAAATTCAAAACTTAATTAAAACTATACAAAAACAATGACAATAAAAAAATACATTTTTAAACTAAATTCGTAATGAAAAATAATAATATCAAAATTACCTTTCATTTATTTATTTTGTATTAATTTTCTTATTTTATTTTTACATTTTTATAATATCCTTATTTTTTATGCATTCCCTCATCTGTAACGGGTTAAATTGTTGTTGAAGGGGTTGTTCAAAAAAAAAAAAAAAAAAAAAAAAAATATATATATATATATATATATATATAAAAGATATAGATTTAGAGAAAAAAAGAAGGGCCGTATATTTCAGACATTTTAAAAATAATAATATTTATTTTCACAGGTAATTAGTTACTTTTATAACGATGTAATTCAGTTACTAACTCAGTTACTATTTGTGAGCAGTAGTAATAACACGTTATTCAGGTCATTAAATGTGTGTAACCTTCTGGAAAGCCAGAGTGGATTCGTCGCCATATTGGTTCCTGAAGTAGTCGTACATGCCGAAGTCAGTCTGCCGGCCGAGCTGATCCCGGGATTTACAGTCCGGAATACATTCAATCACGCCACACTGAAATAAACAAACAGACAGGACATTCAGATACAGCTTACAAAGATAAAGTCTTAGAGGCAAGCGAACATTCACTCACTCCTGGAGCTGTGGCCACAACCCGGTACGGGAACACAAACAGATCCAAACCCACCAGCTGAAAGATGTTCTTGAACAGGCCAATGATCTGAAGCGCGAGCATGTCCTGACACAACACAAACCACATCAATACAATCTACTTACAGAAGGTCCAATTACATTCCAACAAATGTATAATACCTGCACATTCATTTCGATTTTATCACTGTAATTCAGTAGATTTTGGCTCAGATTCTCCTTATTGTAATATGCCCAGATATTTGAATACACTCACTGGCCACTTTATTAGGTACACCTTACTAGTACCACGTTGGACTCCTTTAGACTTCAGAACTGCCTTAATCCTTTGTGGCAGAGATTCAACAAGATACTGGAAATATTCCTCAGAGATTTTGCTGCATATTGACATGATAGCATCACACAGTTACCGCAGATTTGTCGGCTGCACATCCATGATGCCAATCTCACGTTTCATCACATCCCAAAGGTGCTCTACTGGATTGAGATCTGGTGACTGTGGAGGCCATTTGAGTACAATGAACTCATTGTCATGTTCAAGAAACCAGTCTGAGATGATTAACGCTTTATGGTGCGTTATCCTGCTGGAAGTAGCCACCAGAAGATGAGTACACTGTGGTTATAAAGGGATGGTCAGCAACAATACTCAGGTAGGCTGTGGTGTTGACACGATGCTCAATCGGTACTAATCGGGCCCAAAGTGTGGCAAGAAAATCTCCCCCACACCATTACACCACCACCAGCAACCTGAACTGTTGATGCAAGTTAGGATGGATCCATACTTTCATGTTGTTGATGCCAAACTCTGACCTTATCATCTAAATGTTGCAGCAGAAATAGAGATTCATTAGAGCAGGCAACATTTCTCCAATCTTCTATTGTCCAGTTTTGGTGAGCCTGTGTGAATTGTAGCCTCAGTTTCCTGTTCTTAGCTGACAGGAGTGGCACCCGGTGTGCTCTTCTGCTGCTGTAGCCCATCCGCCTCAAGGTTGGACGTGTTGTGTGTTCAGAGATGCTCTTCTGTATTTTGTAACGAGTGCTTATCTGAGTTACTGTTGCCTTTCTATCAGCTGGAACCAGTCTGGCCATTCTCCTCTGACCTCTGGCACCAACAAGGCATTTGTGCCCACAGAACTGCCACTCACTGGATATTTTCTCTTTTTCAGACAATTCTCTGTAAACCCTAGAGATGCTTGTGCATGAAAATCCCAGTAGATCAGCAGTTTCTGAAATACTCAGACCAGCCCGCCAACAACCATGCCACGTTCAAAAACACTTAAATCCCCTTTCTTCCTCATTCTGATGCTCAGTTTGAACTGCAGCAGATCATCTTGATCATGTCTGCATGCCTAAATGCATTGAGTTGCTGCCATGTGATTGGCTGATTAGACATTTGTGTTAACAAGCAGTTGGATGGGTGTACCTAATAAAGTGGCCGGTGAGTGTAAATGTCAACTTGCATCCGATGCACACTTTGCACATTATATTTATTATAATTTTTGGCATTAGAATTATGACATTTTATTCTATTTCATAGCAAAAAATGTGTTGTGAAAAGAAAACAGTAATTGGTTCTTGGAATAAAAAACAAAAATTGTGAGGATTTCATATGGTTTTCCTATTTACATTAAATAATAGTTTTTATTTACTGAATGAATTTGGAATAAAGGTAACCGGATGTTTCCTATGAGACTGACCTGTCTGCAATCATCGCCCACTTTAAAGATGGCCGCCTGCCAGCAGACCCTTTGAGCCGTCAGTGAGCTCTCATCTCCTTCATCCTGAGAGTCGGACGGACAGCGCAGACCTGCACACACACAGAGAGACCACTTAGGAGAACACATACAACTGAAATACATCAGTCCCTCAATTCTCACATTCCCTGGATGTCATTGATATACTAGATACTGTTCAAATCAGAATTATTCTCCCTCCTGTATAATTGTTCTCCCAATTTCTGTTTAAAGGAGAGAGGATTTTTTTCAACACATTTCTAAACATAATAGTTTTAATAACTCAATAGGGTAGATAGGCAAGTCATTCTATAACGATGGTTTGTTCTGTAGACATCTGAAAACATATATTGCTTAAAGGGCACCTAGGTTACCCCTTTTTTCAGATTTAATATAAGTCTTTTGCGTCTCTAGAATGTGTATATAAAGTTTCAGCTCAAAACACCCACCAGATTTTTCATTATACCTTTTACAAGATCATATTTTATACTCATTTCCAGCAGGGGGTGGTTTTGTCGTACTGCGCCTTTAATTCAAGTCTTTCCCGCCTACTGTATCTACGTGCCTTCCCGCGTGCTTTAATCTCCTCCCTCAGCTGCGTTAGACAACAGACAGACTTAAAGGAAGAAGGTCTCACGTAGCGTTTGTGAAATACTACAGTAAGAACTTTACTAACGTTAATCAGTGTTTGTTGTGCAGTCGCGTTGATGAGTCATACGCAATATCGTTACAAAGTTCACGCGCGCGCACACACGCGCACATCGCAGCTGACACACACACACAGACAGGCAGACAGACAAAGTGCACTTAGCTTTGCACTGTTTTTTCACTCAAATGTGACAGGATACAGGCTAATCTCCAGTGCTGTGTGGATATCTTTTATGCTAATGTACAAAATAAACCTGATTTAACGTCTACAAACCGGGATTGAAGCGTCTTCTTTAATACAGTAATTGTTCTGACACAGCTGTGCTGATGAAGTGAATCTGAAGTAAATCGCTGTAATTAATTACACACGTGCTCTGGTTTAAAACACTTTAAACATGTGAAACTCACTCTTGATCACATTTGATGATGGTTGCTGATCCGAGCGAACCGAACAGACCTTTTATTCCCGGTTGCTTTGCGTATGTGACTACCGGGACGTGTTACTGCACGCAGCTGTCAATCAATTCGGTGGGCGGGGGAATCGCACTCCTACGTAAAGTTGCAGTTGGTCTGAAAACCGCTCTAATTGGTCCACCGTTTTTATGTTGTTAAATTGATAAAAAAGGACTGGGTGTGTTTATATCAGCTCAATATGATGGTCTATACACTATATATACACATATGTTTGTCCAAACAGCTTGAAAAGTAGATTTTTCATCATAGGTACCCTTTAAGGAGGCTAATAATATTGACCTTAAAAGATTTTAAAAAAAATTTAAAAACGCTTTCATTCTAGCAGAAATAAAACAAATAGGACTTTCTCCAGAAGAAAAAATATTATAGGATATACTGTGAAAAATTCCTTCCTCTGGTAAACATAATTTGGGAAATATTTGAGAAACAAAATTCACAGGAGGGCCAATAATTCTGACTTAATTCTGTAGTTAATGGCATATGAAGCGTCATGTGAGACTCACCCTCTTTTTCAAGCTCACTAACGCCACACCTCTTAACTTTGAATTTGGCCAGATAAGGGGCTTTGGCAGCGCTGTGAAAACAAAGCGAATGTTACTGAGCTCATAAACCAGCTGACAAATCTAAAAGCTGATCGCAGGTGACGAGCGGTGATACCTCTGCATGGGCGTTCCTGACTTGTAGTCGATATCAAGGACGATTGCTTCTGGATTGCTTGGCAAATAACATCCTGAATACAGAAGTGGGAAACACAGATTCAAATAAACGACCCAAACATGCAGGTCACATTTTTTAAAGCTCAATTACACTAACTATTAAGATTTATCTCGAAATGAGTGATTGCAGACCTGGCTGAACTTTGATTTCTGACAGCGCCTTCAGACACGCTCTCTTCCTCTCATCTCCTTTGGGAACAGGCCTGGAAAACACAAACAGCACACTTAGACCTTTTTAAGGCCATCAAGAATTAAATTTCAGGCTTATATAGGGCTAAACACTAAGGATTTTTCTCATGGTGCAGCAGAAAATAATAATTACTTGGCCCATCAAGAAACACAATATAATGAGTTATTTCATTGCCATATATTCGAAATAATATGTCAAATCAAGCAGACCCTAGCTGTATACATGCACATTTTTTCAATATAACGTAAAAAAAAAACAATAAAAACTCTTTAAAATTAGAATAAACTAAATGCCTGCACAAAAGACTGTTATAATATTAGTTATGAATAGAGAGTTTTGTTGAGATATATTGTTGGTGATTGGATGTGTGTTGGATCGATTGGGTAGCTTTATATAAACAAAGGAAAATTAAGACCTGTTTAAATTGATTTAAGACCTTTAAGACAATAATTCAGTGAATTTAAAACTTTTTAGGGCTAAAATTTAGTTTTTGAAATTTAAGACTTAAAAAAAAAAACGCGGACACCCTGTTTATTTCTGTTCTTTTCAGTTGCAGTCCATTCAAGCTTAATATACAGTTGAAGTCAGAATTATTCGCCCCCTTTTGATTTTTTTTCTTTTTTAAATGTTTCCCAAATGATGTTTAACAGAGCAAGGAAATTTTCACAGTATGTCTGATAATGTTTTTTCTTCTGGAGAAAGTCTTATTTGTTTTATTTCGGTTAGAATAAAAGCAGTATTTAATTTTTTAAACACCATTTTAGGGACAATATTATTAGCCCCTTTAAGCTCATTTTTTTCGATAGTCTACAGAACAAACCATCATTATAGAATAACTTGCCTAATTACCTTAACCTGCCTAGTTTACCTTATTAACCTAGTTAAGCCTTTAAATGTCACTTTAAGCTGTAGAGAAGTGTCTTGAAAAATATCAAGTAAAATGTTATTTACTGTCATCATGACAAAGATAAAATAAACCAATTATTAGAAATAGGTTTTTTAAATTATTATGCTTATAAATGTGCTGAAAAAATCTTGCCTCCATTAAACAGAAATTAGAGAAAAAAATAAACAGGGCCGCTAATAATTCAGGGGGGCTAATAATTCTGACTTCAACTGTATATTTTACCCACAGCACATAAATGGTCATCTACATGCTACAAACAAAAAAAATAATGTGATTTTTAACTATATTTTTATTTATTATCACACTGATATACACCTTTTCTTTTCAATGGGTTAAAGTTATTAAAAAGGCTGTTGAAACAAAAGAAATACACCATTTCTCTTACTTTTGCTATTGAGGAGTCATGTGCACCTACTGACAGGTAAAGGCCTCTCTCTCTCTCTCTCTCTCTATGTCTAATATTATCAGACATACTGTGAAAATTTTCTTGTGCTGTCAAACATCATTTGAGAAATATAAAAAAAAAAAGTAAAAAAAAATTCAAAGGGGGGTTAAAAATTCTAACTTTAACTGTATATACATAAATACTATATATATATAGTATATATATATATACATAAATACTATATATATATATATATATATATATATATATATATATATATATATATATATATATATATATATATATATATATATATATATATATATATTGCATAAAGAAAAAAAAGCTTACAAGGATAATACAACAAAAACTTTTAATCCATCAAGTTTTTAATGTAAACAAAGTACAAGAAATGCTCAATAAGAATAAGAATTATTAATAGTAAAAATGCAGCAATATTTTAGCTATATTTTTCCACCTTACATCACTGCTACAGTAACCAACATTTGGGGTAAAAAATGGGGCACTATTTTCACATAACTGAAACTTAATTAGACTGACTTTTAAATATAAACAAGGAATATTTATTTTATCAAAATTCTGATTTAAAATATGACCAATACTCTACTGATTATAAAGTTTTCTGTTAGATTAAATAATTTTACTTTAAGCAAAACGTACTTGATGATGGCGGAGACGTTGGTGATCTTGTTGAAGAAGTCAAACTCGCGCTGATAGAAGTCTTTAGCTGGACCTGACAGAGAGTGCGTGATCTCTTCCACCATCTGCTCCAGAAGCTCACCGATGTCCGCTGCACCACAACACAAACACAAAACCTGCTGTTACTTTTAATCCACTGATTTAGCATTTTAGTTATAATTATAACTTTTAAAATGTTATTTAAAAAAATAAACAAAATGATAGAATGGTGGTGTATATAAGAAACATGTATTTTTATTTGACATTTTCTAATTGACAGGCCTACTCTTTATTTCACATTTAATATACAGGGTGGGCTATTTCTATAGATACATCTTAATAAAATGGGAAAGGTTGGTGATATTAACGTCCTGTTTGTGGCACATTAGTAGGGCTGTAACGATACGCGATATGAAACTGAAATCGCGACACTCTGATCTACGATCCTGTGTCGCGGTGTGATAAGGGAGAATTACGACACGCCCTGTGACTACCTTTCCAATAACGTCACGCCAGCCTGCAAAAGTTGAGCTAGTTGAAGAAGAACGTGAGGAAACTTTTTTTTTTGCTCGACATTACGAGCACTGCTCCGTTTAAGCCCTGGCAATATGCGTTTAGCCGGGGCCGTCTGAATGTGTCAGGAATATCAAAAACAAAACCAACTTAACCCCGCTTGACAACCGACAACGGCAGAAACATTGCCAATGCTGTCGAACGATGCTTTGCTCACACTGTTAATGTGGCTGTGCAGAGAGGGGTGGGCATTCACCAGATGTCCCAGTAAGAAAAGTTGTCACGTTTTTCACTGCTATGTTGACATGATGGTGTTTCTGAAGCAGAATTTTCAACTCCCTTAAATCCAACGAGTTTGGAATTCTTAAGAGAAATAAGTTGTTTATTTGTTTAATGTTTACTTGATTTGTGGTTTGCAGCACAGGCATTAAGCCTCAGTTACCTCAGTGTGAAACAGCAGCCACTTAATTTACTTTTTTAATGTAAGAGTACTTGATTGAAAAAGAATTTTCAACATGCTCGAATCATCTCCACAATGGAGTTTAGTTCTGTTTGGTTTTTCAACAGTATTTTGTTACAAAGAAAACAGAAGTGTTATAGCTTTGGCTATTTATTTATTTTATATATGGCTATTTATATTGTTAATAATTTGCATAGTTAATATTGTTCTTTGATGTTCAGTTTATAAAGATTTTTCAAATGTTATTTAATAAAAAATATAGTTTTAAATGATACGAATCGAAAGTGATACGAATCGAATCGTGGGTCAAAAATCATGATACGAACCGAATCGTGGCTTTGGTGTATCGTTACAGCCCTACACATTAGTATATGTGAGGGGGCAAACTTTTCAAGATGGGTGGTAGCCATTTTGAAGTCGGCCATCTTGGATCCAACTTTTGTTTTTTCAATAGGAAGAGGGTCATGTGACACATCAAACTTATTGGGAATTTCACAAGAGAAGCAATGGTGTACTCGGTTTTCACGTCACTTTATTCTTTCATGAGTTATTTAGAAGTGTCTGACTACTTTTAAAATGTGTTCAATGTGCTGCCCATTGTGTTGTATTGTCAATGCAACCCTCTTCTCTCACTCTTCACACACTGATAGCAACACCGCAGGAGAAATGCCAGCACAGGCTTCCAGCATCTGTAGTTTCAGGTGCTGCACATCTTGTACCAAAAATAATCGCTCAATTTCCCCATAATCGAGCAGCCCTACCGCACTGAACCAGTGGAAACAGACTATAAATCAGCTGTGTTAAATAACAGAGACATACACTTGAATATGTAGATTGATGGAGATGAAACGCTGGACTAATCTGAGCAAAACCACGGAGTAAACAAATAGACGTACGGTCTTTCTGATGTCCCTCTTCATCCAGAAAGATGTTGGTCTTCATGTTCCATATGAACTGATGTGCGAGGAGCTGCGACTTCTGTGCGGCCCACAGGATGTACTCGCGCACGTAACCCATCTGCAAAAAGCCCAGGACAGATGTTAATAACAGCCCAGGGGCGCAAGAGTCACATCAAAACCAACGCTTTGTGAAGAAAAGGGAGAGGTAGTTCAGAAAAGGTCGGAGGTCAGGCCTCCTCACCTTGTCGTAGCGCAGCGCCTGAACGATTTGAGGAATGTAAAACAAAATGGCATCCTGTAAGAGAAAAGCAAGTTGTAAATCAGTCAAACATAAAGGAGAGAACTTCAACCTGTTCCTCACATGAGGAAGACAACACGAGGAGCACTTTTATAAAGCGTTTATGGTGTTTAACGCAGGAACATTCATCAAAACATCTACTTTTGAGTGGAGTGTCAGTTTCAAAAGTGTCAATGTCTAGTCATGTCAGTGGAAACTTGTTAAACCTCAAAAGCTGACAAATATTTGACCAAGTTGAATGCTTCACTGCTTCTGGGGAACTCTGTGTGGATTAAAATGATTTAAAATTAGACTAAATATATATATTAAGAGAGGATAAACGTCAAAAAATCTAAATGTGTCTTTTTTGTTTATATTTTAATCCCCCTTTTAGCAGGATTTTTAATATCTCAGTATTTTCTAACTGTAAAAGTCATGCCAATGTTAATTCTGCTGATTAAAATGCTATTGTTAAAAAAAAGTAAGCTTATATAATAAGTAAATTATATTAATAAAATTAAATACAATTAAACAAAGCTTATATTAATAAAATTATTTATAATACATTATTATTTAGTTTTCAAAATAAAGAACATATTTGTTGCCTGGACTAAAAAAACCCACAATAGTATTATTCATTATTTTCCTTTATTCATCTGGGGTCGCCACAGCGGAATGAACCGCCAACTTAACCAGCATATGCTTTACCCAGCGGATGCCCTTCCAGCTGCAACCCAGTACTGGCAAACCTCCCTACACATTCATTCACACACACTCATATGCTACAATCAATTTCGTTTATTCAATTCACCCATAGCGCATGTGTTTGCACTGTGGGGGAAACTGGAGCACCCGGAGGAAACCCACACCAACACAGAACATGTCAAATCCCCACACAGAAATGCCAACTGACCAAGCCAGGGCTCAAACCAGCGACCTTCTTAATATGAGCAAACAGTGCTAATCACTGAGCCACCGTGCCACCCCCAATAACAATTTTGTTCATAATCTATTCAATAAACATTTTTTCTCTAAATGAATTCTCTGAAATACTTTAATTGAAAAAAATCTAATGTGTGTATAAAGAAATGTGTGTGTGTGTATATATATATATAATCATTAATTTGTAAATATTTATATATATTTTGCCATCATATATAAAATGTATTTATGTTCTTATCTATTTATTTATTAAATATAAAATTAAATATAAACAATTTACAGAATAAATATAAATACCTATATTTAAATAAATGAGTAAATAAAATAAAATTACTTTATGTTTAAATGAATTTAAATTGCAGCCCAAAGTAAATATTATTTCTTTAATAGAAATTGTTCTCACTGTAAAATGTTAATGTAAACACAATTAAATTTACAAAATGAAAAAATATTTGTGTTCTGTAATTTAAAAAAAAAAAATAATAATTTTTGGTTTGTTCTGTAGACTAATCAAAATAAAAATAACTTAAAGAAGCTAATAATTTTGACCATAAAATGCTTTAAAAAAAAAAACTGCTTTTATTCTTGCCAAAATTGAAGAAATAAGACTTTCTCCAGAAGAAAAATATTATCAGACATACTGTGAAAATTTCCTTGCTCTGTTAAACAGAAACAAATATGGGAAATATTTAAATAAGAATAAAAAAAAATTCAAAGGGGGGCTAATAATTCAGATTTCAACTGTATATATATACAAATATATATATATATATATATATATTCTCATTTGTAAATATTTGCATACTTTTTCATCATATACAAAATGTAAATGTTTACACTTATGAATATAAATACTAATATTTAAATAACTGATTAAATTAATAAATATGTATCTTTAAATGTCTAATTTGATGCATTTAAATTGCAGCAGCAAGTATACTTAGTTATTTTAATAGAAAGTATTTTAGTATTTTAATAGAAAGTGTTCTCACAGTATATAAACAATATAAACATGTTAATGTAAATAACATTATATTTTTTTAAATAAGGAATATATTTGTTTTGTGCACTTTAAAGAAAGCAACAATTAGAGAAGTTTTTATAATTATATGTAATATATCCTTAATTTTTCGAAATATTATAATTGGGTAAAAATAGAAATTTCTACTTAAAAAAGAAAATTATTAAAGATAAAATTTGAATTTAAAAAAATTATTGTATTGCGTTAATATATTGTATATATATATATATATATATTTAATTTATTAATTTGTAAATATTTTTTATTATATATACATATATATATATATATATATATATATATATATTGTAATGTATTTACGTACTTATTCATTTATTAACTAAAATATAACCAAGTTCTAAAATGAACATGTGTGCTTATATTTAAATAACTAATTTAATCATATAATATTATTTGTTTGAATACATAATTAAATTCTCCTGGTATACAGATACGCAGTTTTTTTTAAAAATAGCCAGCAGAAGAACTACAAACTTCTTCAAATATTATCTGACAAAGGGAACCTTCAGAGCCACAAGCACAGAGACCAGTTGGCATAAAGATCAAGTCTAGAGCGCCGCCCTTCTGGTACGTACAGGAGGAAAAGAGCGAAGGACTTTGACTCCATACTGAGCAGTGAGCGGATGAGGAGGATACATGCTGGAGAAATACGAGAGGCCGGTCGGAGGATCTGCAGGAGCCCAGCACAAGATGTGGCTCAGCTCTGGAGAATCTGCATCAATGGTGTGCCACGTTACCAGGAACTATGGGTAAAGCACATGAAGAAACACTCGAGTGTGATTCCTAACATGCTGTGGTTGTACTAAGTTTGTGGTTGAGCAGCATATCTAACCTTCACTGCCTCTGGCACATCGCTGACAGCACCAGGATCCAGCCGAACTAGACGAGTCACTTCTGCCACAATGGCGTCTGCGTTTTTGAACCTACAAAACATGTCAAAAGGTCACACACACACACACACACACACACACACACACACACACACACACACACACACACACACACACACACACACACACACTGATGAAAAAATGTGAGCTCTTTACCCAAAATGCTTTTGCTGCCTGGATTAAATTAAATACTGTGATTCTCTAATGAGCAAATATATATTAATTTTTGTTTGTTTTTTGAACTACTGTAGTGCATTCTGGGATTGCATTCTCCAGAAATGACACATGAGAAAACAAATACTTAAAAAAAAAAAAGTTTCATCACATTGTGACTTTTAATGACATTTAAATTCTCAAATTCGAATGTTTAAATAAATAATAAAAATACATTTTAAATGAGATGAAATTAAATTAAATTAAATATTTCCCCCCCACAACTTAAACAACTATTTTTGTTTTGGGAAAACAATTTTTGTCACAATGAAGATTACAAGAAAAAGAATACATACTGAAAAAACAACAACTGCCGAATCACATATAAATAAGATAAATTAAAAAAATAAAATAAAATAAAATAATATTAAATTAAATAATAAAATAAAATAAAATAAAATAAAATAAAATAAAATAAAATAAAATAAAATTAAATTAAATGATGTTTTTACACACATTAAACAAAATATTTTGTTTTGGAAAGGTTCGGGAAATACGCATAATTATAAAAAAAATGTCATCACAAAAACAATGGCTGAAAAAACTGCATTTGTTAAAATGAAACCATTTAGAAGGTCGTAAATGACCATGTTTTGAGGTTTTATTCATAACTCTTATTATTATTATACTGGACTTTCATTGGTGATTTCTTTTTTAGGTTTTTTCCCCTCGAGTTTGTGAGTAATTCGGATAAGATTTTAATAAACAGATAAATAATTAAAATAAATGAATAAAATAAAAATTTCTCCCCACATTAAATGCAAAGTTTTGTTTTGGGAAGGTTTGGAAAATATGCATAATTGTAATTTTAAAAAAAAAAACAATCACCAAAAAAGATGACAAGAAAAAGGACACATGGCTGAAAAAAGGTTTATTATTAATAAATAAATAAATAAATTTATTATTAATAGATTAGTATTATACTGTATTTTCATTGATGATTTTTTTTTTCGAGTTTGTGAGTAATTCTGATAAGATTTTAATAAACAGATAAAAAAAAATAAAATGAAATAAAATAAAATGATGTTTTTTCTCCAACAATAAACAAAACTTTTGTTTTAATGAAGGTTTTTGGAAATATGCATAATTATAACTGTAAAAAATGTCATTATAAAAAAACATGTAAGGAAATATGTAGCAAATGACCATAATTTGAGGTTTTATTATTGGTTTAATTCATAATTTTTATTCTACATCTATTGATGATTAGATTCATTCGCAAAATTTTCAATAATAAAATCTAATTGCAACGATTCCAAATTGTTTTAATGTGGTGTTTGATATGACAAGAGTTTAAACTGATTTATTTTAATCTGACAATACATTCTGGGACCTAAAAATAGCTGAAGTTTCTTTTAAAATGGGTCAAAATCTAGTACTTCTACATATTTTTTAAGACAGGCTTTACTTCATCATGAAGCATAACCACAATGCCTGATGATGCAGTCTACACAGGCAGCTCATTAGGCTTTGGGACAACCTTGTTGTTGACGTACCTTGCCGGAAGCTGCAAGGCCAGGTAAGGAGCGATACTCCAGGCCAAATTGACATTATCCTTCCACTGTTTCTCGGTCAGGTTGATGTATTTGGACCTCCAGTTGGAGATGCTGGTTTCCACAGACTGCTCGGTGGGAATGGCCAGCTCCTGTGTGGACAGCGGGTTGTACCATGTGCTCAGTCTCTCGATCTCGCTGGCCTGCCGGGAAAGAAAAAGTGAGATGCTCAAAGCACAGGAGTTTATTTTAACAGGAGGCCAGGTAAGGAAAAGAAGTCCCTACCAGCAAGGCCAAGAGCAACGTCCTGCGTTTCATGTAGTACTTGTGCAGCTGGGTTCCTCTGTTGCTTTTTTTGGACATGCCTACAGTGAAAGAAGACATGAGGCAAACCGATTAAGTTCATTCAATCATTTTCCTTCAGCTTACTTCCTTTATTCATCAAGGGTCACCACAGAGGAATGAACCACCAACTTATCCAGCATATGTTTTACACTGCGGATGCCCTTCCAGCTGCAACCCAGTACTGGGAAACACCCATACACACTCATTCACACACTACAGCCAATTTAATTAATCAATTTACCTATAGTGCATGTGTTTGGACTGTTGGGGAAACCGGAGCCCCCAGAGGAAACCCAGACCAACACATGAGAACACGCAAACTCCACACAGAAATGCCAAAAGAGCCAGGCGGGACTCGAATTAGCTGAATGAACTTGCCATTGAGTCTTCAAAAACAACGCTCAAATCTGTGACGCTAACTTTAGCATCCATTAGCTCAGAAACCATTTATCGCTCTGCTAATTACAGCGCTGACCCTTAACAAGCATTTCACGGCATTAGCAGGTGTACATCGGTTTAACAGATTAAACAATTAAAACGAATCAGGATGAGCGAACTGGCCAGGCGTGTACCTGATTTCTTAGAGGTGGTGGACATGCCGCTAGACAGGGGGTACGTGTTGATCCAGCCCTGAGCGCTCTGCTGGCGGGAGCCCACCGTCATGTCCATGTTGTTCCTGGGGTCGGTGGCGTTCATCACTGATAGACTGTTCAGCGACGGGTCCTGGTTGTCTGCCAACAGAAATGGCATCAAGACAAGGATTTTGCAGACTTTTATTCTCCTTTCTAGAACTAAACTTTTACACTAGTGTGCGCAGGTCATATTTCAGCCCAAAACTAACATATTCTGCATGAAGAAAATTTGGTCACCCTATACAATAAGGTTTCATTAGTTAATGTTAGTTACTGTATTAACTAACATGAACTAATCATGAATGATACTCAAAGCAATTATTAATGATAGTTCAGCATTTACTAATGCGTTATTAAAATCAAAATCAATGCATTTGTTATAAATGAGTAAATATTTTGAATTAAGTGAATATTTAACACATATTTTATAAAATTATAAGAATACAATTTTTTGAAAAATAATAAAGTATTTTATGCAAATTATTATTATTATTACTTTATTCAATGATTTATTTAATCAAAAATATTTTTATAATAAAAAAATAATAAAATGTATTAATTTATATTTTAAACAATTTTTTTGTGGAGAAACAAGAAGCACTTTTAAATTAAACAAATAGTAAACAGAATAAAAATGTATAAAAAATATGTAATATGTAAAATGTAATATGTAAAAAACTATTACATAAATTATATAAATTATTATTATTATTTTATTTAATGATTTACTTCATAATAAATATTATAATACATATAAAAATAAAATAAATTAATGAAATAAAAATAAATAAACAGACAGACAGACAGACAGACAGACAGACAGACAGACAGACAGACAGACAGATAGATAGATAGATAGATAGATAGATAGATAGATAGATAGATAGATAGATAGATAGATAGATAGATAGATAGATAGATAGATAGATAGATAGATAGATAGATAGATAGAGAAATTTAAGTAAATAAATACATAAATAAATAAAACAGGTTTTGAATTATAAACTCTTTTGTTAAAGAAAAATGATTGCAATGCAAACCATAAATAAAATACTGTGAATAGATTTATTTTTCTTTTTATAAAACATATTTTGAAATTTATTTCTTCTGACTTAAAGGTGGAATATTTCACCCCTAAATAAATAAATAAATACTTAAACAAACAAATAAATAAAATAATCAAGTAAATACTTAAAAATAAATAAATAAATATTAAAAATGTACATAAATAAAAATATATGGATATAAATACAACAAAAATAAATAAATAAATACTTAAAATAAATAAAAATGAATAAATACTTAAAAATAAATAAAAATAAAGATAAACATTTTTAAACACTTGAAAATAAAAAATGAAATAAATATAAATACTTAAAAAAAAATAAAACAATAAATAAAAATAAATAAATACTTTAAAATAAAAACTTAAAAATATAAAAAAACAAATAGATAAATGAATGAAACAGATTTTGAATTATTAAGTCTTTTGGTGAGGGATAATTACTGCAAAGCAATGCAAAAGAAAAAAAATTATAAAAATAAAACAATTTTCCAAAAATATTTAATTTTATTTGCATAAAATACATATTGAGATTTATTTCTTCTGACTTAGGGGTTGGAATATGACCTGGACATGTTCTTTACAGGATCCTTAAGACTCACCTCATCATTTGTAAAGTAAATTAATTAATTTACCCCAATTAAACAAATTAGTTTGCCTTCTTTAACTACCACTTTCTTCCATCATTCCAGCACTTTTTCCTCCTTTCCCATTTGCGTTAATGAATAATTAACACACAGCATCCGAGGAAGTGAAGCCTGCAAATTATACAGTCGACGAGTAAATACCAAGCAAAGCAGCTTGATTTGTGGTGCCGTCTGGCGGTGTAGCACATCACACGATGGAGAGGCTTTAAGGCAGTGTTTCCCAAGCCTGTTCTTAATAGCACACCAACAGCACACATTCTTAACCTAATCAAACACATCTGAATCAACTCATCTGATCCATTAACTTCACGTTTTGGAGTCTCTGCTTATGTTCTGATAAGGAAGACGTCCAACATATGTACTGTTGGCGTGCCTTTAGGAACAGGGTTGGGAAACACTGCTTTAAGGGACGAATGAACTCTCAATTAGTTCTCTGGTACTGAAATGATCATGCATTTTACATGAGAAGCGATGAGATCATGTTCTTCTACAATAAAGGGTGGTGGCGGTACGGGTCGGGAGGGGGGTGGGGTAAGATGGGACGGTTGCATTTCTCAATTTGCGCTTGGCGTCAAATTGATCAATTCGGCCGTCCGGATGATTGCCGTGCAGTTTTGTAGTATGGGTTTCAAATTGGCGGTCATGCTAATTTGAAACCGCATTAACATGCTCCTGCCGCACTGTAGTCGCACAGTCGGAGCAAGTAGAGGCTTACTTAAGATCGATATCGGAGAAGTGCTGGAAACGATAAGCGATCCGAAAATCCCGGCAGATAGGGAGCTTTGAGGGGGATTGGCACCGAGCTCACCAGGTGGCACGAGCAGGCTAGCACCTAGGTACTTCTTGTCGGAGAGGATGCTGGCGTAGAAGCGGATCATGATGCTGATGTCCTCCCGCAGACGCTTGTCTCCCTGAGTGGGGAACTTTGATGCCACACTAAAGAGAACAACAAAATATATTAGAATTAAAGCTATTATGCAAAAATTACTTTTAGAAGGAGTTTAATCACAGGTGTGGGTCAGCAGTCTGTAAATATAACCAACCTCTAATAGTAAAAACAAATTAATTCTATTTTTATAATCACATTTGATAAAAACACTTTGATTGACATTTTCCCTTTGTATGTGTCATCAGAGAGGGAAAGCCCCGCCCACTTGTGACCATCTCTCCCTAATTAGCATGGGAGGTTAGTTTTGATTTTGAATCTTCCATTATACTGACACGGACATTTGTAGCTCCGCCCACTTTTGAAAAGAGCACAATCTAATTTGAATTTAAAGTGACAGTCACCAAAACGGCACCATTAGGATCAAAGCATAAAAGGGGCAGTTTCAAAGAGTTATAAAACATTCTTTGTGGGATATTTTGAGTTGAAACTTCATATACACACACTAGGGAGGTTATTGTACATCTTGAAAGAATGGACATAATCAGCCGAAAAACCTAAACGCTTATTCACCATGAAGCAAAACACATGATTCTTATTTTATTATGAATATATTCTCAATTACATGTACACACACTTTAATTAAAAGAATTTTTTTCCCACTTTGATAGCATCTCTTCTGTATCTTTGGATGCTTACTTGTGTTTCTCAATTCAACACATAAAAAATAAAAATAAATACATAGTTTTCTTGTTTAGCATTTTCCCTCAGTTTACATTTTTTGGGAGTGCTTTTTTCTAGATTTTATGCCAACTTTTTTCAAAATTTGCTGCAACATTTGTGGCATATCCGTCTCTGAAGACAAATTACAGGGAGATATAGAGTAATAATTGATATTTATTTCAGAGCACACTTTTTCTGCCATGTTTAGTCTACATCAGTGGTTCCCAAAGTAGGGGTCATGGCTTCACATATAGGTGAAGTTGAACATCTCCCATGTCCTGCACAGTTACCAGATCTAAACATTATTGAGCCACTGTGGATGGTTTTTGGAGGGGTGAGTCAGGAAAGGTTTTCCTCCAACAGCATCACGTAGTGACCTGGCCACTATTCTGCAAGAAGAATGGCTCAATATCCCTCTGGCCACTGTGCAGGACTTGTTACTGTCTACCCAAGACGAATTGATGCTGTATTGGCTACAAAAGAAGGGCTTACGCCATACTAATATATTGTTGTGCTCTACAACCAGGTGTTTCACTTTCATTGTTCAACCCCTGTACATCTACACTGCGAGCATCCCGAATTTGAGTCCTAACACATGAACCTTTCCCGATCTCATCCCCCTTTTTAACTTCACTTCCTGTCAATATGTAATGTCCTAGGAGGTGAGCTTCCCTCCCTCCAGTACATCCACACCAGGCGGTGCATGAGGAAAGCCAAGAGAATTATCAGCGACTCCAGCCACCCAAGCCATAGATTTTCCCCTCTGCTACCCTCAGGCAGACGGTTCTGCAGCATCCGATCACGCACCAGCCGACTGAAGGAAAGCTTCTTCCCTCAGACTATCAGGCTGATGAACATTTAACACACACAGACATACTCTTCCATACCCCACACTGCACACCATCAATATATAGCATGCACTGCACTTTAACCAATCCATACTTGAAACAATACTGCCTACAACCATGTGGACACCTATTCATTGCACATATCGCTGTCAATTTCACATTGTCGTTGTATTCTGCACAGTCTGTAGTTTGCACTGTCTGTACTTTGCTATGTCGTTGTATTTGCACTGTCTGTATTTTGCACTGTCTGGAGCCAGCACCTAAGCTTTTCACTCATCATAGCACACGTGCTGCTGATGATGTGACCATAAAAGTGATTTGATTTGGTCATGATAAAGACAAGAATGCCAAAAATATGCCTTTAAAAAAGATCTCAAAAATAATTACAAAGACATGGCAAGTAGCAGAATTGCTAAAAAATCTATTTGTCTCATTTTTAGTCCAAATACATTTATAAAAACTCCTTATACAAGTAAAATAATATTTAAATAAGACTATTTTTCTTAATCATAACAAGAACAACATAAATGTATATTACACAAGCACTTTTGCACTGTATTTAACATTTAATTTTTCTTACTGAGAGTGTTTGTCATGTTTCTAGTCCAAATAACTAAAAATTCAATCAAAAAGGGTTTTCTTGACAAGTAAAGAATATTGTCTTGTTTTCAGAAATAATATTTCATATTTAAGTGAGTTTTTCCTTAAAACAACCAAAATAGTCTGTTTTTCACCATGAAATTGGATTGTTTTGCTCACCTCATTTCAGATTAATTTGCTTGATTTGAAGAAAAACCCACTTAATTTTGACTGTGTTTGTGAAAGCAAAGAAATATTTTTTTTACTTGTCTTAATAAACTTTAGATATTTCAACTAGAAATGAGATCAAAATTCAAGGTAAGACACGCTTTTGGCAGTGACGAAACTGTATTTTTTTGTACAACAGTTCTGGAAGATTTTTCACCCTTTTAAATTAAAAGCATTATCAAATTCTCAGATATATATTCAGTACCTGAAGTAATCGAAGGCAGTGGAATAAATCTTTTCCCTTAGGACGTTACGGATGGTGGCATTGGTCACTACGTCAGAATGCAGGAGAGAAAGTCCGAGCGTCAACAACCTGTGCAGAGAAATACTGTAAAAGCGTGTTTTGCTCTTTGACGTCAACAAACAAAAAGTTCTAACAAATTTAATAACTAAAATAAAAAAATAAAACAACATTTAATTTCAGCATAAACCAGAAGCTTTTTTTTCCAGTATTGTGATGCAGTTCCTAGAGAAACAGAATATTAAATGAGAAAACAGTGGGCGTGGCTTGTTTTTTATACTGCGAGCTGATTGGATGTAATAAAGTTGGCATTTGGGGAAAAGGGTTTGGGGAGAGTTATTACAACCTAACAGACTCCTGCTGCTCACCATTAATGTTTAGTGTCAAAACTGACAGCTGGAGGGGGTGTGATTAAGTATATTAGCCACGCCCAATACCTCAGACAGACCTAATCTGAGAAGAATCTGAGATAAATCTGAATTAAATTTTGAATAAAATTGAATTGTTCACCACAAGACTACCAATGTGAGCTAACAAAATCAATACGGTTAGTTTTGATTTCATGTGTACTTAAAAAAGAGAGAGAAGAGTAGATAATTATACCAAAATAGATCAACACAAAGTATGATATTTTAACAACACTATCCAATAAATCTTTATAAATCATTTTTTTCCGCATTGTGTAGTGTTGCTAACCTGAAGCGAGGTCCGATGGCTGCCACATGGCGGTTCAGACTGCTTTTTGGGCTGCCGACATTCAGAGAGAGGGACCTCTGCAGAAGACTGCCGAAAATCTCCACCTGATCGGCGCTGCTGTACTTGGCGATCTCAAACCGCTGCACCAGAAACTAATGGGAAGAAAAATGATGAAATAAATAATACTTCCATGTACATTCTATAACTTTATTAGTTCTTGTTTGTTTCTTAGGACTATTTTGAACAACAGAAATGTGTCAGGACAAACCGATTTTAATGCTCACTTATTGGCCATTTACACAGAACACATCTTTGTGTCTATAAATACACTACCTGACAAAAGTCTTGTCACCTTTGTGACTTATAAGTGGTTTAGATGAAAGGTAAAGGCCTCTGGATTTTGCTTATTTGACCAAAATAAAATATGATCATGCCTTGATTTTGAATGATTTCATTAGGACAGTAAGGTCTGACTTTGCTTAGGCAAAAGTCTCATCACTAAACAGGAATAATGTCCAGTATAGAATATAAAGTCCTGCTGCAGTGGAGACAGAATGAATATTGTGTCTGACTCCATCATGAGCTTGGAGGACTGCATCCATACATCTCTGCACTGACTCAAATCACTGATTAATAAAGTCATCTGGAATGGCAAAGAAAGCATTCTTGCAGGACTCCCAGAGTTCATCAAGATCCTTTGGATTCATCTTCAATGCCTCCTCCATCTTACCCCAGACATGCTCAATAATCTTCATGTCGGGTGACTGGGCTGGCCAATCCTGGTGCACCTTGACCTTCTTTGCTTTTAGGAACTTTGATGTGGAGGCTGAAGTATGAGAAGGAGCGCTGTCCTGCTGATGAATTTTCAATGGGTAGCACAAATGTCTTGATACCTCAGGCTGTTGATGTTGCAGATCTCTCTCACACCCCCATACTGAATGTAACCCCAAACCATGATTTCTCCTTCACAAAACTTGACGGATTTCTCTGAGAATCTTGGGTCCATGCGGGTTCCAGTAGGTCTTCTGCAGTATTTGTGATGGTTGGGATGCAGCTCAACAGATGATTCCTGGGAAAAATCAACCTTCTGCCACTTTTCCAAATGATCAACTAGAAGTCAAGTTATTATTTGTTGCTCTAGCAACTGGGAACTTACAGCAAGACTTTTGTCCATGACTTCATATTCTATACTGTACATTATTTCTGTACAAGATTTTTGTCAGGTAAAGTATATTTATACAGAGTTGATGAATAAAAAGGACAAATTCACTATTATTTTTGGTTTTGTAAATGGAGACACACACATAAATCACACTTTATTATGTTTTAAACAAACAATGAAAAAGAACTTAGTATGAAGCATATCCTAAAAAAGTTTGACTGTTTTAAAAAGTCATGCTTAATAAAAATTGTTGAACTTAATACTGGTTATATTCAAAGACGGTTTCTGAAATATTGATAAAATGTGCATTATTTGTCAGTGTTATTGTACAAGATTTAAATGTAAGATTTTTTATTGAAGAAGTAAATTTTTTTCATTCTGTTTTTGACAACTGAGTACACTGGTGAAAAAAATTGTTACTTTTTTATTTAATTCAAGCACTTTTATGGACCTATATTTGTTTAGAAGTACTTTCAAGGTCTTAAATCCATATGTCTGAAATTCAATTACTTTTAAGTACATTTAAGAAGCAGGGCAACTGTAATGTAATGTAATATACTCTATTTAATGCCATGTCAGCAAACAAGGCTATTTTCATGGCAGGAATCTTTCAACAATAAATATACAATTTAAAAATCAACAAACAAAATAAAACATAAATTAAATAAGATTTTTTTTGTGTTAATACATGATAAAAATTCTAAAATCTTTTCCGGTTTCACTTTGTTAAAAATGTCCTTAAAAGAGTTAATTTCATAAAAAAAGTCTTCTGGAATCAGTAAAAGCAGGACAGTCCAGTAAAATGTGGTTTATAGTAAGAGGAGTTTTGCAGCACAAACACTGAGTTGGGTTTTCACCTTGGAGCAAAAAACCATGTGTTATTCTCGTATGCCCAATACGACATCTGCTAAAAACTACTTGATCAAATCGATTGTTAAAATGTCTTAAAATTCTGTGTGAAATTTCAGGTTGGATTTCATGTAATGTATTGTTTTCTAATGCATCCCATTCCTTTTGCCTCTTGTTTAAAATGTAAGCGTTAATAAAAGGTTTCATCTCTGACGGAGGAATTTGGCATTTGTTCACTACTTGCTTCAAAGAATCATTAGCAAGAAGCAGGGCAACCCTGATTAGAGTTTAAAATAACTTCTGTTTTCTACATTTTCTACTTTTATTTATTCCTATGATCATATTCCTATGATTCACGATGCTAAAATCGTGATAATAAATGTAAAACATCGTTTTGCAAAACAAGAACAAATTTTACAAAACAAGCTGCTTTGTAAACAAACGATTCTAGCAAATCAAACTTAAAAAATCTATTTAATCTAGTTCTATTTGAAGACCAGCCCTCAACAGAGCAGAGGAGAGTCCTCGTGCTATTTTCAGATGTGTATCATAAGAGGCTTGGGGTCAGGTAAATCCACAGCTATGGAAATGCCCATAAGCCTTGGACGGATCAGCAAGGTAAGAGGAAGTAACCTCAATCCAGATGTAGTGTGGCGTGACGTCGGGCGGGCAGGGGATGGGTTGGCTTTCCTCGGAAGCCGCCAGGGGATCGGCCTCCAGCTGGGCATCAGAAAACAGCCCCATCTTCAGATCCACCGTCATCTGCCACGCGCCGGCCATCTCACGCATGAACTGAACACACAACAGCACAAATCCAGTCAAAACTTGTTCATTTAACATACTAGCAATGACTTACGCACAATATTAGAGGAATTTGAACTATGTGAACATATTGTTATGATTTTAAAAGACCACCAGGGCTGTGCAATATGACAACATACAGTTGAAGTCAGAATTATTCACCCTCTTGTGAATTTTTCTTTCTTTTTCAATTATTTCCCAAATTATGTTTAACAGAGCAAGGAAATTTTCACAGTAGCTTTGCATTTAATTAAAGATATAATAAAATATCACAACAATGTTTTGTGTCAAATGTATGTTTTGTGGCAAGTAGCCATGTAAAAAATGAGGTAAAATACATCCAGAATAGTTGTTTTCACAGAATAAAGCCCTTTAGTCTTATACACCGTGTCTGCTTCGTGTCGGGTGCTGATAAGCCTGTCAGACTTTATTCTGCAATTAAAAAACCCTGAATCTACTTTATCCCTAACTTATCAGAATATGAAATGACTTATATCACTTAGCCCTAACATGCAAACATTTTTGAGGTAATATATCAGTACGTATGTAAAATAATACAAAAATAGATGATTTTTTTACTCATCAATAGTTATTAGTACACGTTAATAAATGAATAATAACAACTTATTAATAAACTTAACTATTTATTAGAATAAAAACCTCTAACCTGCTAAAACAAAATTTGTTAACCTGTTGAACGAGACTGTAAGACGTGAACTTTAATATCCTGCTTTTCTTTAACGCTGCACTGACATAATGTTAAAGAACACAAAAGTGCAAATTTGTTTGACCTAATAAAATACACTGGTTCAAAGAGAGTTGTAGATGTACATGTATGTCGTACCGGGACTTCAACTCCTGTTCTTCCAGCCAGAAGCCATTCCCAGCAGGCTATAGCCGTTTCCATGCCATTCTCAGTAAACATCTTTAATGGAGACCAGCACAGGTGATGCAACAGCAGAGGGTCCCATTCTACACAACACAACACAACACAAGACAACATGACATTAAAAGCACTGTCTAAATAAACACCTGTGAACTGTGCGAATATATTTAATTTAAAATATAATTCATGAAAAATTCAATTTATGATTAATACTTCATAAAACATCACTTTTTCAATAGCATTTTTAAAATGAAAATTAAAATGTTTTGATGATTTAAATTTAAGAACCACAGTGTTTCCCCCATCATATTAGAGTTGAGTATACTTTATTTTTATATCTTTTTTATCCACAAAGTGTGCAGCTTTTGTCATTGCTGTGTATCTTGGGCTTTATTACTTACTAAATGAAGTTATTTTTTAGCTTGTACAATTGTAGTTCAAATAATTGTTGTTTTTTACTGCTGTCATTAAAAGAAACAAATTAACACCATGACTCCTTGTGTCTGTGTCAGTCTGAACAGCCACGTCGCCACCCAACACATATGCCAGAAATACTTGTCCTTATATATGCCAGAAACCTATAGGTCACATATATGCCAGAAACATATATGTCAACATATACGCCAGAAACCTATAGGTCACATATATGCCAGAAACCTATAGGTCACATATATACCAGAAACCTATAGGTCACATATATGCCAGAAACCTATAGGTCACATATATGCCAGAAACCTATAGGTCACATATATGCCAGAAACCTATAGGTCACATATATGCCAGAAATGTATATGTCACATATATGCCATATATAGGTCACATATATGCCATATATAGGTCACATATATGCCAGAAACCTATATGTCACATATATGCCAGAAACCTATAGGTCACATATATGCCAGAAACCTATAGGTCACATATATGTCAGAAACCTATATGTAACATATATGCCAGAAACCTATAGGTCACATATATGTCAGAAACCTATATGTAACATATATGCCAGAAACCTATAGGTCACATATATGCCATATATAGGTCACATATATGCCAGAAACCTATATGTCACATATAGGCCAGAAACCTATAGGTCACATATATGCCAGAAACCTATAGGTCACATATATGCCAGAAACCTATAGGTCACATATATGCCTGAAACCTATAGGTCACATATATGCCAGAAACCTATAGGTCACATATATGTCAGAAACCTATAGGTCACATATATGCCAGAAACCTATAGGTCACATATATGCCAGAAACCTATAGGTCACATATATGCCAGAAACCTATAGGTCACATATATGCCAGAAACCTATATGTCACATATATGTCAGAAACCTATAGGTCACATATATGCCAGAAACCTATAGGTCACATATATGCCTGAAACCTATAGGTCACATATATGCCAGAAACCTATAGGTCACATATATGCCAGAAACCTATAGGTCACATATATGCCAGAAACCTATATGTCACATATATGTCAGAAACCTACACATATATGCCATATATAGGTCACATATATGCCAGAAACCTATATGTCACATATATGCCAGAAATCTATAGGTCACATATATGCCAGAAACCTATATGTCACATATATGCCAGAAACCTATATGTCACATATATGCCAGAAATCTATAGGTCACATATATGCCAGAAACCTATATGTCACATATATGCCAGAAATCTATAGGTCACATATATGCCAGAAACCTATATGTCACATATATGCCATACATAGGTCACATATATGCCAGAAACCTATAGGTCACATATATGCCTGAAACCTATAGGTCACATATATGCCAGAAACCTATAGGTCACATATATGCCAGAAACCTATAGGTCACATATATGCCTGAAACCTATAGGTCACATATATGCCAGAAACCTATAGGTCACATATATGCCAGAAACCTATAGGTCACATATATGCCAGAAACCTATATGTCACATATATGCCAGAAACCTATAGGTCACATATATGCCAGAAACCTATAGGTCACATATATGCCTGAAACCTATAGGTCACATTTATGCCAGAAACCTATAGGTCACATATATGCCAGAAACCTATAGGTCACATATATGCCAGAAACCTATAGGTCACATATATGCCAGAAACCTATAGGTCACATATATGCCAGAAACCTATATGTCACATATATGCCAGAAACCTATAGGTCACATATATGCCAGAAACCTTTAGGTCACATATATGCCAGAAACCTATATGTTACATATATGCCAGAAACCTATAGGTCACATATATGCCAGAAACCTATAGGTCACATATATGCCAGAAACATATAGGTCACATATATGCCAGAAACATATAGGTCACATATATGCCAGAAACCTATAGGTCACATATATGCCAGAAACCTATAGGTCACATATATGCCAGAAACATATAGGTCACATATATGCCAGAAACCTATAGGTCACATATATGCCAGAAACCTATAGGTCACATATATGCCAGAAACCTATAGGTCACATATATGCCAGAAACCTATAGGTCACATATATGCCAGAAACCTATATGTCACATATATGCCAGAAACCTATAGGTCACATATATGCCAGAAACCTTTAGGTCACATATATGCCAGAAACCTATATGTTACATATATGCCAGAAACCTATAGGTCACATATATGCCAGAAACCTATAGGTCACATATATGCCAGAAACCTATATGTTACATATATGCCAGAAACCTATAGGTCACATATATGCCAGAAACCTTTAGGTCACATATATGCCAGAAACCTATATGTTACATATATGCCAGAAACCTATAGGTCACATATTTGCCAGAAACCTATAGGTCACATATATGCCAGAAACATATAGGTCACATATATGCCAGAAACCTATAGGTCACATATATGCCAGAAACCTATAGGTCACATATATGCCAGAAACATATAGGTCACATATATGCCAGAAACCTATAGGTCACATATATGCCTGAAACCTATAGGTCACATATATGCCAGAAACCTATAGGTCACATTTATGCCAGAAACCTATAGGTCACATATATGCCAGAAACCTATAGATCACATATATGCCATTCCTCTCTGACCTCTGGCATCAACAAGGCATTTGCGCCCACAGAACTGCTCCTCACTGGATATTATCTCTATTTCGGACCATTCTCTGTAAACCCTAGAAATGGTTGTGAGTAAAAATGCCACGTTCAAAGTCACTTAAATCCCCTTTCTTCCCCATTCTGATGCTCAGTTTGAACTGCAGCAGATCGTCTTGACAATGTCTACATGGCTAAATGCATTGAGTTGCTGCCGTGTGATTGGCTGATTAGAAATTTGCGTGAACGAGCAGTTAGACAGGTGTACCTAAAAAAGTGGCCGGTGAGTGTAAATATCTTTATGTGTGTTGGACAGAAGATAAAGTTTAAAAGTTGAATTCAGTTTTGGATTGAACTGTCCCTTTAAAACATTTGACCATCTGCTAGTGTACAGCTTATAAAACACAATAAAACGTGCCTCTGGAGCTGATCAACAGCGCTGCCATCTTGAACAGGGCTTCGGTGAAGGCTTCGGGCTGTCCTCCATCCAGAGCTTCATTCATCTGTCGGATCATCAGTTTATTCAGGTCTGATGTGCTCCGCGTGGCCTCGGAGAAATGGATCATCCCTGCGACCTGCATACGAGACACAGGGGGTAAGACTCGGTGAAACAAACACAAAAAGCCCTGCTTCATTATTTAGCAGCACCTCTCCAGCGTAGCGGTTTCTCAGGTTGAGGGAGGCCATGAAGTTGGAGTAGTCTTTCTTCACGCATGCGGGTCTCTCGGTCAGCTGAGTGGTCTGAAATGATGGGGAACAAACTTTTAATGACTGTTTGCAACCTGAAGGACTAGTCAATAAATCAATTCAGTAGAAATGCACCGATCGATTCTCAATTTTTTGAATATTCACTTGTTCCAAACCAAACTGCGATGAATTTACACTACAAAGTTCCACAGTCAGGGCCGGATTAACCAATGGGCATTATGGGTACAGGGAAAATGTTGATTAAATAGTGTCTATTTAGGCCCCGTTTACACTAGTGGTTTAAGTTTTTAAAATGGCGTTTTAGATCAAAAACAATCCCCAACCACAAAGGCTAGCTTTCACCTAGCGTTTCTGAACATATCTCAGTCCACACTACACCACCAAAAACGCATATCACGTGACCATTCGTGCACTCTGGGCATGCGTGTTCTAGTATAAACAGGAAGCATGCGTCTCGCTCGGCATTTGGTTATTGTTAGTGAACAAACGGCTGTTGAACAATGAACGCGATGGCAAAGAAAGCAAGAGAGGTATTTTTGTGGACAGACGACGAGGTCGAGTTGTTACTAAACGTAACAAATGAATAACTGCACAATGGTGCCTAAAACAGACAATAGTGCAAACAATGTTCCCATTTCTGTGCCCATGTTGTTGTTTACAGTGCTGTCTTCTAGTAGCGTTAAAGCCATGTGTTATAGTCATGTGATAGGGGCTTGACGAATAAGGGAAGGATACACAATGATGCAAAAGCCCCAACCAGGTAGGGAATCTCAGCAGCCCCGCGTTTTCAGATGTCTCCGATTTCCCCCATCCACACTGAGACGAAGCAGTAGCGTTCAAGAATGAAAACGGCCTCTCCAGCGTTTCCAAAAGCGCTCGAAAACTCCGACGTAGTGTAGACGGATGGTGTAACCGTGGCAAAACTTATGCGTTTTCAAACTAAAACGCATTAGTGTAAACGGGGCCTTAGACTAAATGCAAATAGCGCACCTCGTTGGAATGAGCTAGTTAAGCGATTCACACCTATCACCGCTTGATTGAGAGACAACATAACTAAAGAGCTCAATAGACAGCAGTTTGAGTGGCCTAGCTCGAAAAGCACATGGCAACATGTTTTGACGCGATCGATCATGAACCCGGTTTCGAATCCAGCATCCGATGAAATCCTTCTTTTTTCCCCCCACTACATATCAGATTTTGCCTAGTCTTCATCACGAGGAAGACAAGTATGAATCATTAATAAGTGTGTGTATTATGGAAGACTCAGATTCATAGAACTGAACTGGATTGGAGAGGTGTTATATCCAAATCATATGCATTATAAGTTTATAGAAGTTATACATTAAAATACCCTTAAATATACATTTTATTACTGCTTCTGTGAACTTGAACAAGTATATTAAAATCCATTAATTTTCACTAGTTGTGTCAGTGTGTTTTTTTAAAGTGTGCTTTAAATGCTTAAAAAATAAGTTAAATCTCTGTAGATTAGAAATATATGTACTGAATATCATTTATTTAAAAAATGTGGGCAATACATTATAGATTAATTTCAATTAAAAAATATTATTTTAATCTTATTTTTAGTTTATCTATAGGGGTGTGGCTAGGTAGGGGGCCTACAAGACACTGAGCCCAGGGGCCTCTAAATTCATAATCCAGGCCTGTCCACAGTTGTGTGATATTTTCAACATTAAATCAAAGTATTGTATGTGTAAGGATTTTACACTTGATTCAAATTTCGGATTGCCTTTTCCCCCCATTTTATTTTATACAACTACATTTGTTCATTTAATAATTGCACAATTGTGTGATATTTTTTAACTTTAAATAAAAAGACAGAATATGTAAGATTTTTATATTTGATTCCTAATTTTGGATTGCAATTTTTTCCCATTTTATTTAGTAAACGACCTTTGTTCATTAATGATATTTTCAACATTAAATCAAAATACTGCATATATATATATATATATATATATATATATATATATATATATATATATATATATATATATATATATATATAAAATACATATAAAGCATTATATTTGATTATAATTTTGAATTGCAATTGTTCCCCCATTTTATTTGATAAAATGACCTTTGTTCGTTTATAAAAAATTAAATGTCTAATGTAATGAATTCAATAAAATAAATGTATTATTATTTAATATGTAAGGATATGTGTTATATTATTTTGGACTGCTGAGCGGTCTGAAATGATGGAAAAGAAACTTGAACTTTTAAGGATGTTTAACTGTTTGCAATCTGATGAACTAGTCAATTCATATCAAAATCAATACAGTAGAAATGCACCGATCGATTTTTTGATTTTTTTTTCAAATGAAAATATTGTACGTACGAAACTTTTACATTTGATTCCAATTTGGGATTGTAATTTTTCACTTCAATGGTTTACAGTGCATCCGGAAAGTATTAATAGCGCTTCACTTTTTCCACATTTTGTTATGTACAAGCTTATTCCAACATGAATTAAACTCATTTATTTTCTCAAAATTTTACACACAATCCCCCATAATAACAATGTGAAAAGAGTTTTTGAAATTAAGAAAAATCAAGCTCGCTGCATGACTAGCCTTTATCATACACTAAAACACAAGTGGTCATCTTACACCGAGACTGGTGCTCTGACGGTTGTATCCGGCGAAGTGCAGGATGCTCTCTGTGGCCATCGCCAGCCCTGTGTGCTGAGACAGACCCGACACCCAGTTCTGATGCTTATTCAGGTATTCCTGCGGTGGAAAAAACAATGATGATGTTACAAATCATTCCGGAAGAGGATATGTGGTAAATACGTGCTTTTGCTGTATTATCATGTACAATTTTTAATGGCGGGTCAAACCTGTAGGTGTGATTTGGTGACCGATGGCGCCCATTTCATGGCCTCTTTCAGGATTTCTCCACAGCGGGCGGCAAAGTCCTTCACTATGCTCTATACAGGACATAGCAAATTTACCACTAATACACATGTGATAGGATTTTTTTTTTCTTTTTTAAATATTTCCTAAATTATGTTTAACAGAGCAAGGAAATTTTCACAGTATGTCTGATAATATTTTGTCTTCTGGAGAAAGTCTTATTTGTTTTATTTCAGCTAAAATTAAAAGCGTTTTAAATTAAATTTTTTTTTTTTTTAATTATTAGCCCCTTTAAGCTAATTTTTTTTTCAATTGTCTGCAGAACAAACCATAGTTATACAATAACTTGCCTAATTACTTTAACCTGCCTAGTTAACCTAATTAACCTAGTTAAGCATTTAAATGTCACTTTAAGCTGTATAAAAGTGTTTTGAAAAATATTTAGTCAAATATTATTTACTGTCCTCATGACAAAGATAAAATAAATCAGTTATTAGAAATGAGTTATTAAAACTATTATGATTGACACACACACACACACACACACACACACACACACACACATATATATATATATATATAAATATTTAAGATAAAAGCCTTTTCTTCGATGCGTTCAAAATAATAAACACATTTTCTAATTGACTGCGCGATTTATTGTGACCACTTTAATTTTAATTCAGCAATTCAATTTTAGAAAAGCTAATTAATTAAACTACAAAGTAACTCGCATTAGATTTTCAAAAAAGTAACTCAAATATGATGACTTATTTTGGAAAAGTAATGCGTTACCTCCTCGTTACTTAGAAAAGTATTATTATTATGTAACTCGTGTTAATTGTAATGCGTTACCCCCAACACTGGCTATGTGTCAATGCACAAACCACTAGGCTACTGACGAAAACCACGACACACTTTTCATTCAGAATTTTTTTGAAGAGAAACTCAGTATGTTCCACTGAAAAAATAAATAAAAATTATGACAAAAGGCATAATTTAAACACAAATTATGTTTAAGAAAGAATTTTGAGTTATATTAAAAGTCATGTTATCTTGGTTATGTAAAGTTTTCATGACAAGGACATGTCCTCTTTACATTTAAAATGACATAACTGAGCAAAGGGCACTTAATGACAGCTGTCATAAGCATGCATGAAATCTCCAGCATATTCATTATGTGCGCCATATCATGATTATTAAGGACTCATTGAATATAGTTCTTATGAACACCCCCTTCAAGTAAAGTGCTAACCATCTTAACAGAACAGACAAACAAGGTCCAGTATCTGTACCTCTCTGGCCTCATACGTGTCCGGCACTGTGATGCGATATGGTGTGTCTGGTATGTCGTAATATGGTTGGTCTTTGTGGATATCCTGAAAAACAAAACCAATAATGAGTCATAAATATCCCTTGAAACAAAACTCTGAATATCTCCATTATATGCAGATTAAATTGAGCTGAGCAAAAAATGAAGCACGTACAGCACTGAGCGAAAGAGACAGAGTCTGTAATATATCCAGCATGGTCCTCAGAACACGGCCGCTCCACAGCAAGTGTGGAAATCTGGAGAGGAAAAAAACATTGATAAGCAATCAACATACATTAAAACACTTAAGGCCCTGGGTATGCTTTAAACTCTGAATGGTATGGTATACTGTTTTTGAACCTCTGGACAACCCCGCGCTAGAGTAGGTGTGGTTGTAAATGTGTGACACCGCTAGAGTGGTCTAATAAACAACAACAATGGTGGCTGAGAGGAAGTAACAGTTTCAAAAAAGGCAAATAAAAGCCTCCTATTTCCCGCGGAGACTGAATGCAACAATGTTTAGAACTTTATCAGACATGGCACAATGCGGTTGTGAGTTTTTAAAATCTCTCAGCGAGCAATAGTACAGGTGCGGATATACAGTATCTAATCCAGGGATCCGTTCTTCATACCTCGCTTAAATGCTCTGGGATGATTTGGCAAATCCTGCATCTTTTAATCTTGATAACTGGTTCTTCAAACAAGTTCGCGAATCAGATTAAAATGTCTGGATGTACTGATCTGAGATCGCTGCGTGTGTTGTGAAGGACAGATCTATCGATCCTCGAAATCATCATCAGCAATGCAGCGATTGGCTGACGGCACAGCAGCGTAATGACATCATCTGATTAATATTCAATTATCCATGTGAGCAAAATTACATCAAATTTATAGGAGACGGTTTGTTAAATATGACACGCAATAACTTTCTACATTTGTTGTGGGCTGCGTGTTTTACTCTTTCATGTGTCAAAGATTATTTAGCAATTTATTTAGTTTTAGTGTTAGAGTGGATTTTCTTTATTATAGTAGTTGTAGTATTATTGTCGCCGGTTTCTTCATCGGTGTAAAGAATAACTGGATGGTTAAAAAGCATTTTGATATTGGTAAAGGCGTCTGTAACCTTTATGAAGCATCAAATCACCGTCATATTAACTGTAAAAACATGTTCATGACTGCATATGTATTATTGTTTTTTTTTAAGTCACATATTGTGCATTTCTATTATCATACACAAAGTGTACTAAAGCGATCGTACACATTTGTATCTAAAAAGTTTATATCAATAAATTTTCTTTTTGAACCACCAGGTGTCAGTCTGTACTTTTATTTCGGAGTGCAGATTGCATAAGTTTTATTAATATATATTTTGTAACTTATATATATATATATATATATATATATATAAAGTTAAAAATATATATATATATTTACTATTGTCCCAAGTGTATATAACTACGACTGTAAGAAAATATCAGCATTTGGTAAATACTTTTTACTAATATCTTTGCTTGAAATGACGCAATCTAATCCTGTTTATTTGAATGAGCCTGTTCCCGACCAGGTTTGAGCTACCAGAACTATTGCTATGACAACAACTCTCGGATCAGTTTTGAAGAACAAAGCGATCCTGGATCGTGTCAAATCGTCAACAACCAAATTCAGATAACTGTGAATTCAACTTGTTGTGAATTCAACTGTGAATTCAACTGTGAATGTTGAACAAATACACTACCTGACAAAAATATTGTTGTCTATCCCAGTTATAAGAGCAACAAATAATGACTTGACGTATTTGGAAAAGTGCCAGAAGGTAGATTTTTCCCATGAATCATCTGCTGAACTGCATCCCAATCATTACAAATACAGCAGAAGACCTACTGGAACCTGCATGGACCTATGATCCTCACAAAAATTAGTCAAGTTTGATGAAGGATGAATCATGGTTTGGAGTAACATTCAGTAAGGGGGCGTAAGAGAGATCTGCAGAGTGGACGGCAACATCAGCTGCCTCAGGTTTTAAGACATTTGTGACCAAAAATAAACCCCTTCCTTAAAAAGTTTGACCAAAATGAACTACTCCCCCAAAAAGTTGGACCAAAATGAAGTACTCCCCAAAAAGTTGGACCAAAACAAACTTCTCCCTCAAAGAGTTGGACCAAAACGAACTCCCCCAAAAAATTTGACCAAAATGAACTACTCCCCCAAAAAATTGGACCAAAACGAACTCCTCCCCCAAAAAATTGGACCAAAACGAACTCCTCCCCCAAAAAATTGGACCAAAACGAACTCCTCCCCCAAAAAATTGGACCAAAATGAAGTACTCTCCAAAAAGTTGGACCAAAACAAACTTCTCCCCCAAAAAGTTAGACCAAACCGAACTCCTCCCGCCAAAAAAAGGTGGACCAAAACAAACTCCTCCCCCAAAAAGTTAGACCAAACCGAACTCCTCCCTCCAAAAAAGTTGGAGCAAAACAAACTCCTCCTTCAAAAAGTTAGACCAAAAAGAACTCCTTACCCAAAAAAAGTTGGACCAAAACAAACTCCTCACCCAAAAAGGTAGACCAAAACGAACTCCTTGCCCGAAAAGTTTAACCTAAATGAACTCCCCCAAAAAGCTGAACCTAAACGAACTCCCCCAAAAAGTTGGACCAATACAAACTCCTCCCCCAAAAAGATGAACCAAAACGAACTCCCTCTGTAGAAACTAACATGAAACAAATTTCTTTTTTTTTATTTTGTTTGAAGAATACCCGGGCCTTAACTCAACCAATTTTAAGTTAACTTAGATTTTTTTTTTACACATGCAACATCTCTACAGAACACACTGAAGTATAGAATAGTCTGGACTAGTGTTATTATGATTGATAAATTCGATACCATTCGGTAGTGAAATTGTAAACACATCCATTTCCCGCTAACATTTGCTCGCTGTTGAGCACGTTTTTAAACAGCGCTGATTTGCTATTGTGTTCCCTGCTCAACAGAAATGACTGTGATTGGTTGTGAAGGTCATCAATTCATCAAACTCACTGCTCTTTAGTGCGCAAAACCACAGATACAGGGACACTGGAGAGTTTTAAAGCCACAAAGATCAGTAGATTCATCAGCGGATCGCTCGTATATCAGTTTATAAACAGACCAGCTTATATTTGCAGCTTTAACACTTTTTAAAGTATTATGACAACACTAGTCTGGAATGATTGTAATGATTGGACAATAATAATGAAGCAGAACTCACGTCTCAGCGAGTCCTGACAGATATTTGTCAGCAACTCTTCGGATTCTCTTATGAATGTGGTTGAAGTTGACCAATAGAAACTGAGCATGACTTTCCAGCTCCTCCTCATGGGCTTTGGTCTTTGCCTAGGAGAAAAAAAACAAAGAATATAAAAATTAGCCTCAGTTAGAAATCAAGATCAATTTGTACACATAAAGCCTTTAAGATTTGATTTACCTTGTCAGCCATCATCTGAAGAAAGACATCGAAGACCTTGTCACCTACTGCGATGACACACTGCATCATTCCTGAGTGGAAAAGACCAGCAAAATCTCATCAAAACTGACAATAATCATTGATTTTTCACAAATATGACACAGGACCATAAAATTCTGAGAATTAAAAAGACCATTTCGATGTGGTCAAGTTATTGGCCTATAAACATTTCCTGCTTGTTATCAATTATTATTTCATAATTGTAACAATTCAACCATAAATTATGTTTTTATTATTATTTTTTATCTTACTTCTGCGAGCATTGTTGTATATTGTATTGTCAATTGCTTTGTATATGTTTGTTGGACAGAATTTGTAAGTCATTTTTAAGATACATATACAGTGGGGAAAATAAGTACTGAACACGTTTTCTTTCCTGGGAATAATATTTCGAAACAATCAGTTGACAAGGAATTGAACCGGATTTTGGTGAAAACCCAAACAATACAAACATAATAATAATGTGTAATAAGAATGGAATGACACAAGGAGAAAGTCAGGCGACTGGCTGGGCCATTCTACAGCTTGTTTTTCTTTCCTTTGGAAGCTTCCTCGGCTGTGTTTTGGATCATTGTCTTGCTGAAATGTCCTCCCTGGTTTCATCTTCATCATCTGCTAATGTAGATGTTGGACTGAAGCAGCTGATATTCATTTTCAATAAGAAAGGGTAGAGGATTGCTGAAGAGTCACTGAAAGATTTCAGCTGTTGTCTGGGCTTTTCATGCCTTTATACACCTTCCTTTCTTCATGTGTTCAATACATTTTCACTGTGTCATTTCATTTTATTACACAGAACTTAATTTGTAAACTAATTAGATTTGTTTTCACTGCATATATGGATTTCTTTGGTTGTTATCAAAAATTTAAAAGTTAAAAAATTTCAAGTCAACAGCACCTTTAGAGATATGTTTTTCTGAGGAAAATGGTGATGTGTGCAATACTTATTTTCCCAGCTGTATATATATATATATATATATATATATATATATATATATATATTTATTTATTTATTTGTTTTTTTCTTAAATTTTTGTTTTTTTTTCTTAAATATATATATATATATATATATATATATATATATATATATATATATATATATATTTTTTTTTTTTTTTTTTTTAAATCATCCAGAAAATAAATCACCGCAGGTCTCGCTCACCTGATTTATCCTTCTGAATCGCTCGGTCTTCAAAATAGCGAAACATCACTTGGAATCGGTCAGACTCCTGAGATCGTAACACTCTGAAGAGGAAAAAAGAGATGAGATCATTTGGCTGTTCAGTCTAAAAACCATCATCTCAAGGAAAACGCTGGTGTACCTCATGTATTCCAGCCGGTAGACGGACAGCAGGTAGGTGGACATGGCAAAGTCCAGTTTATTAATGAGCGCAGCAACCTCCGGCGGAGGATCCAGCAGGTTAATGATGGTTCCCCTCAAATCATTCAGCTCAGCCTGGAAACAGCAAATGTGAGATTTCAGTCTCCATCCGGGTCACGGCACCAAATAGGGTATATGCACAGCTAGTGTTTATTCTCCTACCGATAAACTTCTGGTGAACGATTAATGTTATAAGTTTCATACAGTTCCTTTTACAGCATCGATGTTGTAATATAATTAAAATATAATCAGTTCAACAGACTTAAGCATTCATTTAGTTGTTTAAGTGTAAAATTAGATGAACAGCAGTTCAAACACAAGTGCCGTCAGCAGCAGAATTTAGTTAATTCGCTGGTGTTTTTTACTATTTGCATGTGTTTTTTTAAGCTGCAGGGCGTTGAGCTCTATAAATTACCATGCTTTGTGATAAAGATGCCCTGTGATCAGTGTTTCAGAACAAAAAAACAAGCAGTACCGGCGTGACAGTGTCGTTCTTCAGGGCCGAGTTATACTGCAGCTCTGAGCGCAGCGGTTCTCCGCTTGGGAAGGTCAGCAGTGGGGATTTTGTTGCAATCTCACACACTCCCTCATACCACTCCTCCGGCCACAGACCTGAAGATGGGGAAAGATGATGATTATTCAGACCCAAAACAAATAGACAGCTTTTTTAAAATATGACTTAAAGCAACACTCCACCTTTTGTGAAAAAGGCTCAAGTCTATTAGAGTTAAACAGTTGTCTTGCACCATTCTTTTAATCCATTCAGCCAATTGCTTGTTTTGGCTGAGGCACTTTTAGCATAGCTTAGCAAAGTGAATAGAATTGGATTAGACCATTAATAACGAAGCAGAAGTTAAATATGACTTAAAGCAACCCTCCACCTTTTTTTTTTAAAAAAAAAAAGGCTCATTTTACAAGTCTATAAGAGTTAAACAGTTGACCATTTTTTAATCCATTCGGCCAATTTCTTAATCTGGCAGAGTCACTTTTAGCTTAGCATAGTGAATTGAATCAGATTAGACCATTAGCGTTTCAATCATTCATAAAAAAAGGGGTTTTGATAAAAGCTCAAGTCTTCTGTAGTTACATTGTGTATTAAGATCAGCGGACAATGAAAAATTCTTATTTTCTTTGGCGAGAACCATTTTTGAACCCATTGAGCCGATTTCTTGTTCTGCCGGAGTCACTTTCAGCTTAGCTTAGCAAAGTGAATTGAATCAGATTAGACCATTAGCATTTCATTCATTCGTTCACTAAAAAAATGTTTTTGATAATATTCTAAAAATATTTGTGCTTATTTAATCAATTTGATGAAACACATCTGAAATATCATGAATTCTGAAATCTTCGATGAACAGACAGTGATTCTGTGTAGTTTAAATTAGTGCTCATCAATAGATAGAGTAAACGAGTAGATGATTGGACTCTGTGAAGGTATGTATACATTTTAGGTAATTATACAGTACTCTACAAAAGTCCTGAGCACCAGCTTTGTTGGCCTGAGACTTTTGCAAAATATATAATCAATCCGTCTCTTTATTAAAAACAAACAGAAAATAGAAAATGTACAAAAAACAACAGCAGTACAACATTTCCTCTTTTAGCTAAATCTATGTTTGATGTGGCTTCCCTTGGCAGCAAGCACAGCTAGAACTGTTTTGTTTAAATTATCTTAAGATTTTCTGAAATAACGTGCTGTGTAATAATATCAGGATTCTTTAAGCACTTTCCAGAGTTCTTCTTTAGGTTTAGAGTGTCTTATCTTTCTTTTTCTGTCCAGGTGATCTCACACAGCCTCTATAATATTCAGGTCTGGACTCTGTGGAGGCCATTTCATGACTGTCTGCATGTAATCAGTTGTATTCCGGATTTTGCTGCAATTAGTGGATCATTATCATGATGAAAATGAAAAATATTAAAACTGAAGTCCTTTCTAGAAGGAATGGCATAATGGATTAAAACCTTACTTTTTAACATTCATAATTCCATCAATTCAGACAATATTGCTAACAACAACACTGCTAGAAATGCAGCTCAAACTAGGACAAACAGCCTCTCTCCAACACTGTCTTTCACATGTCTTAAACATATAAACCAAAGTAATTCAAACTCTAACCTAACTCCTATCCTAACAAACCGTACATCAACTGAAAGATCATTTATTCACCCTGAAGATATCTCAATTTAAAATAAATTGACTAAAAATATACACTTATGACTTTTATGGGTGAAAAAGAGTCACATTTATCCATTATATCGTCAGTAAAAGATTTAATGTTGGCCTAAAACTTTTGCAAAGTACTGTGTTTTGTCCAACATTCAACAAATAAACAGACAAAAATGCTACAAAATCTTAAACTAAATGATGTACATGTGAACATTTATTAATATGGATGTCTAACCTGAGCCCTCAACAGCGAAGCCCATCACAACCGAATACAGCCAGAAATCTCTGAACAGCTTCTGCAGCCTCGGTTTGGCTTCTTTTATGGCCGGCAAACGTTTGGTTAGCTATAGGGTAAAAAACAGACAGATTATGAACAACATATCCCAATCGGCTCTCAACCAAAAACATTAATTGTGTAAACTGTCGGCAACTGAGGTAAAATAATGTTCATTTTAGCAGCAAAAACAGACTCGAAAAAGAATTTATTTTTTTAAATGAGTAAAAGCTAAATGTATACCCTTTTCTAAGCGTCATTTACTGTATATCGATTTATATGTTCATTAAAGTAAATATTAGTTAAAAATAAAATAGGTCAGATGCCTTTTTACACACACAATGAGTGACAGTTCAGGATGACCATTACAGAAATGTGTTTAGGACTAACAGCAGTTTGCGACAATGCCACCAGGGGGCACAAAGGGAGCGATACAAATGGACAGAAATAGACAGTAGCTGCAAATACCCTGCTATTTGTAAATGAAATGAAACGTTAGCTAATGTATTAACTCACAATGAGCAATAAACATTTTTACAAAATTAATGAATGTTTCGTTTTATTGAACATGACAACATTTCTGTATATTTTTAGCATAATGTAAAAAAAAATCTTATGTACCGTTATGTATAAATAGAAAAATCCCAATCACAGCTTTATTCTCTGTGCGCCTAATGTTTGACTTATAAAATATTGGTACAAAAAAAATATTGTCTTACCACAGCAATGACAGGAATGAGAACTCCGAGATTACCAGCGCTGCTTGACGCCTGAGGAAAAATCAGCATCAAAAATATATTTAGAGGTCCCGTGAAATTAAAATATCGTTTAGGATGCTGGTATGAGTATTGTTAGTTTTTAAGAAATCTATAAGCTAGTGCGCACCAAAAAAGTGAGAAAATTCACGTTTAAGAGATATAAAACTGACATGTAAAGCTTGCAGTTTGTCACTGCCACCTTTTCCTTTTATTTCTCCACATCACCTCATACTTCAGTTTATCATCAAATCTTGACCAATCAAATGCTCTCTAGCATTTGACATGCCCCGCCCCCTTCAAGACGCTTCACATTTATCATGCTTGAGCTCAACCACTCTCTGAGTGGTGTTGTGTGGCAAGAGTCTGTGAATATAACCAGCTTCTAATGGTAAAAATGTATTAATTTTATTTGCTACAATCAAACATGATTGAAGGTCTGTAGAACATTCTCTTTTTGTACGTGTCGGGGAAAACCATTAAGAGCGTGTCGGAATCCACTTTTGCTATTTAAGGGATAGAAAATTACGCTTTGCGCCGAGGCGCATGGTCTAACAAGGTTGTGCTTATTCTCTTAATGAGTTATGGGTGTTTTGAGCATAAGAGTCAGTTGGGTCGCACCAAGGAGCATTTGCTATTTACATGGTGGACTTTGTATATGGAAAAACTAAACACTTCACTAGTGAGAAAATAATTAAACAGAGCATCTGCAGCGTGCGGATAAAGAATGAGCCTCCTCCAATCCGCCTCTTTACTTTCTCTTTACTTTTACTCTTTACTTTGGTGGAGTAAGGAAACGGTGGAAACACCCACTTAAGACATCCATTAGCCCACATATTTAATTTCATTTGTTAAGCGCAAAGATCATTGATCATTTTCCTATTTAAAGCTAGTCTTTTGTAGTTACATTGTACAATAAGATCAACGGAAATGAAAAATTATGATCAACTCAACACAAATCTGTACTCAAACCAAAAACAAAAAGATAGCTAATGTTTACCTTTTTTTTTTTAAAATAACGAAGCAGCAGTTAAATATAACATAAAGCAACCCTCCACTTTTTTCAAAAGGCTCATTTTACAAGTCTATTAGAGGTAAATGGTTGACTTGAACCGTTTTTGAATCCATTCAGCTGATTTTAGCTTAGCTTTGCATAGTGAATTGAATCATTCAGCCTCTTTACTTTAACTCCTTTACATTGGTGGAGTAAGGATATGGTGGACACTTCCACTGAAGACATGCATTAGCCGACATTTTTAATTTAATTTGTTAAGCGCAAAGATTTGTTTCAAAACTATTTCTCTAAATTCAGTTCTAATTTCCAGCAAACGAATAAATGAACAATAATAACGAAGTGTGGTCAGAAAACTGAGTTATATCCAAACACACGTCCTCTACTTATCTCCATATGTTGATGCAGACGTCTCCAAAACCAACAGGTGGACAAATCTAAACTAGTTTTTAATAAAACAAATTTAAGTATGCATATAATAAATAGCACTGCTAATAATGATAACATTATACAAAGGCATGGCAGTTGTTTTAATATTTATGTAGAAAATAATAATTTTTGTAACATTTTAACTCTTTATTTTTTCATCAGTAAAGATATTTGTATGTTGCTGTTCAGGTGTGTATTAAGCAATGTATAAATGTTTGGACCTGCATAGGCGCATAACTAACTGCGCTGGACTTTAGAGCAGCTTTAAGTTGGTTTATTGCGCGGTCTATTTCAGTTATTTAAAATAGCAACGCACCATCAATACCTCCTTTTTAGACCAGCATATCCATGAGTCCACAAAGTGGCACAAATGAATTTGCTATTTAAACAATGTGGCGCAAAACAGAAAAATTAGGCTTGCGCTGGTCTAAACATAGCAACAAATCACTCCAAACACATCTTGTGCTTTTTTGCGCCGAGTGTATGATAGGGCCCAATATCTCCCTTATTAGCATAGAATGTTAATCTTGTTTTTGAATCTGCCACTATGCTGACACATAGGCATTTGTAGCTCTGCCCACTTTCAAAAAGAGTACAATCTCATTTGAATTTAAAGCGACAGCCAACAAAATGTGTGTGCTCTTTTTCCAGTAATTTATTATAATGTTACAATTTCTTTTTCACTTTTTTTTTAAATTCAGTAGAACGAATTTACTGGTATTTTCAAAAAGGGCCTGTTCACACATGATCTCTTTCCGGAAAAGTCTGTATGTGTGAAAGGGGCTATTAACTAAACTCACTGGCAGCAGAGTGGGGAGTGTTCACAAATACTTGTTTCTGCAGAGGTATTCGAAACCTCTTCGAGTCAAGAACAAAGAAGACGTCTGCTGTGGGTTTACTGGGGGCTTTAATTTGATGTTTGGGTACCTTGAGGGCCGGGCCCTTCTCGCTGGCTCTTTCACTGGCCCGTTTGCCCTCCAGCCCCAGCTGCACAAACAGTTCCAGCAGATTGACCAGCAGCTCGTCCACCATCTGCTCCGTCTGCAGGTTGGCTGCGATGTTGGCCAGAGCATTGATCACGGCCAGAGAACAGTGCCTGTGCCAAATACAACAACACTGAGGTCAAAAAAGGTCAAGAATTATACCAAGCATGTATAATACCAGTGCTTCTCACAGGTTTAAAATATACTTGCTGTGGTAGCCAGATTGAAAGACACCTTTATTTAAATAAGGCAGATTAACCATTTCTAAAGGTGTTTAAATATTCTGCAGCCAGTTTAGATGTCATTTCGTCCCTTTGCATATAGTGAAGTTTTTCTAGGTTGTTTATTAAAGAATAATTTAATGTTTCTCTAGTAGGTTTAAATGAAAAGGTAATTTAAAAACACATAAAATTTTGAAGATTTAGAAGATCCAAAAAGGCGTATTTCTGTGGGAGCATTGACTGTTCTCGCGCACACAGAATCATAAGTAGCCTACGAAACAGGTAAACGAAAGACAATTTTCCACTGGTTAGTTGATTGCAGATATTTGGTTATCTTGATATAAAAAAAGTGTAAAAGGATGATAATAATAGTAAAAAAAAAAAAAATAAATTATAAAAATTTTGTTTTAAAGTGTCGCCAAATATACTTGGGCAGCCATTAGAGCTGTGAACCTACACTAGTCTCACGGTTCGGTTCGGTTACGATTATGATGCCATCGATTCGGTTCAATTCGATATCTCGGTGCATCACGGTGCATTGACGGTGCTTTCCATACACAGTTTTATATTTTCTTCACAGCAGCATTTCTTGTATTAAAATGTATGAATATATTTATATTTATATACTATTTGTAATACACTTTTGTCATTTAATACAAAAAGTCAGATATATAAATTGTAACTTTAAACAAAACGAGCATTCAGCAAATAATATAAACAAATATCCAGCTCAATTTCTGATCCTTGTCTAGTTCTCTTACACCCCTTTGATTGGTCACACCCTCAACAAAAACAGTTGCGATTGGCTCTTGCGCGCTGAGCTCTTCACAGATGAGTGACACTGATAAGCGGCAGGGGCAAACTCCCAGCTGATGTATGATAGACACGGTGAAGAAAACTCTGCAGACACGCGCTGGTTTCTGTAAGCAAAAGTAACGCTGTAAAACAGCCGACATGAGAAGAAAAGCCACGCCAGCAGTCGAATGGGCCACTGTACAGAGATGGAGTAGGCTACTTTCATTCTCTCGATCTCAGTGAAATAGGGGCTATTGTTGTATATGTCAGTGAAAGACTGATCCAGCAAACACACACAGTGAAATTGTTCACAGTTTATGAGTTTTAAGTAGTTAAAGCGCTGTAAATACTAGTGATCGCCTCCCTCGCGACAGAGCGCATATGAGGTAAATGACGTCAGTAAAAACCGGTTATGATTATTACCGAACCCATACCGAATTGTCCGCGTCTGCATCGCGGTGCACCGAAGAAACGATTAATTTTGACACCCCTAGCAGCCATTAATATACCTGGGCGACACGCCCACACAAAGTTTATGTGTGGGAAGCACTCAATACAATTTAAACAGTTGCGGTAAAAAAAGGAATTTATTTTTATTACTTTTGTGTCTTTATTTTTTATTAGAAAAATGCTTAGACTAACAAGAGATTAATCAAACGTTCTCTTATGTATGAGATCACATATTGACCAGACACACTTCCTCTTACTGTGCTGCATACTCTAAGGAACATGCTGACAAGATGGAAAAAGCAGAATAAGTGTGGGGGCCTTTGTTTAATACAAAGTCTAGACATGTCACAAGTTGTCATGATGCTTGTAGAAGCTGTGAAAGCTATTAAAGATGCACGTAATTGTTCAGTTCTGGTATGCATAGAAGGGGTGCAGAAAGAGGAAGTATGTCTGGGGTACAAGAGCCAAAGGACTGCAGAATGACTGATAAGTGACGTTAAACCAAAACTCTACCTGTTAATATCAGTTGTGTATGCATGCTGGAGTCAGGAAATGCATGTTAGTGGCGAACCTCTTGAATGTAATTCTTGTAATGCAATGGGGTAATGAAGCCCAGCGCTCTGTCATCGAATTATTCATTTGTATCTAATAAATTACTAATATTTTTGGCATTGAATAAAACCCTCTCCAGACCTTTTCTTATTGAACACGCATGGAATTGGCTTGATTTTCCAACACAGTTTAACATAAATATATAAATCAACCATATAAATAATAGGAATATTACTAAAAGGAATAAATTATATCAAGAATACGTTGAATTAGATGAATTGTAATAGAAGGTTTTCTCTCAAAAGCATTGTTGTTTGGTATATATTTTATTCATTATTTTATCATTTTTTTGTTCCTGTATTTTTACAGTGTTCTCAGACTTAGGATAATTATCATATTTGCACGATAACTTCGGCCTCTTTACGATGTACGATAAAGAAACAGAGAAAGTTGTGGCCAATTTAAGACTTAAGAGTGGATGAAAACATCCCAAACAGCACAAAAGGGTTAATCAATTAACTAATAATAACAATGGGTAACACATTTATTAAAGTATGTTATTTATTAAGGGTGTCACAATCCTCCAAATCCTCGATTCGATTACATTTTCGATTCTAAAGGCACGATTCGATTCGATTTTCGATTATGAATAATTAATTAATTAATGACAAATTAATTATTTGTAGCCTGCCATTTAAACTACCTGACCTGCGTGGTCTTTGTTTTACCCATAAACAAATCATACAGTAAATGAATAAAGGCAAGATACACACATAATTACCACCTGTCAATCACTTTTTTCTGCGGGACTCGTGAATAGGCAGTGATCTGTGTCGTTATAATGGCGTCGGTAAAAAAAGAGGCACAACCAAAAGGAACCAGAAAACAGTATCTGAGGTGTTCGCTAAAATGACTAAGTACAAGTGAGTGAAAGATTGAAGCAGTCCTCTGACTGCCTGGACCTGCTGTCTCGAGCGCATGGCTGTGTGTGCGTCTGTGTGTGTGTGGTCACGTGATGTGCATTTTCAGAGGTAGAGAGGAAGGAGGGCTGCTCAGAAATGCTACACGCCACTGTGGATGTCAAATCGTTGTCGTTCTAAAATGCCATTTAAAAACAAAGACAGTGTAAACAGGGCCTGAGTGTGTACTTTTCGCAAGCGGATTTGCAACGGGGGCGGGCGGAGGATCGCGATGCCGGTGTTGTCTATCGGATGAACCGTACGTAATACGTACATAGCAGAGCTTGCAAAACTGTGTTTTTTTTGTCGACAACATGAACGTCGTCAACATAACTCACTGGAAATCCAAAATGCTTACACACCGGCGACTTCATTGAAAGAGGAGAGGGTTTAAGCTCTGTCGACGGGTCTCCTGCTTCTGCAGTTTAACAAGCACTTCAACAAGCCTGTTTTTTCCTGCTTGGCAAGCCAAGCTGACGTGACATGGGGGCGTGGCAGCATCGACGATTCTATTTTTTGATTCGATAATCGAAATTGAGCATAAATTTCGATCGATTTCGATTAAAAATCGAAATCGTGACACCCCTATTATTTATCCATCAGCATGACGCAAAAACCTGTAGGTCAAAACATTTCACTAAATAATAAATACATGTAAAAATAAATCACCTGTATCCATGATCCTTGTAGTCTTTGGTGGAGTAAACCATGGAGCTGGCCTTCACGCTGATCTGCTGGAACAGGTTCCACACTTCCTGATAAATATATTGCTGTGGGACAGAAACGCGGAGATGTTAGCACGGATCCAAACATACAACCCTGATTTTCAGAACACAGAGGAGCTGGCATACGTTTCCAGTGATGACCATACAGCCCAGCTGATCTATGATGAGCACGTCGAGCTGAGACGGCGGCTGGCAGAACTTCTGCTGCAGGATCTGTAAGATGGGCTCCATCACTCGTGGAGTGTCTCTCAGAGCCACAGCGATGTGTCCTAACGCCCGTATGGTGTGGTCCGGGATTAGATGGGCATCCCTGAGAGGAAAACAGCACAAATGATGTTCATTCTTACAAATCTCTTTTAAGGGCTGTAAAATTATTCAAGCTATCATCTGTCAAATGCAACATACTTGTCATTTTCCTGCGAAATGTACAGACGGTTGGAAAGACTGGCGAGGAAAGCTTCAACGATGACTGAATCCATGGTCAATCCTGCTTTTAAACACCTAGATTAACAAAAAAATATTAGATCCTGATATATTTCATAAAATGAATGAAGAGTTTCGTTGCAAAACGAGATATATCCATTTACATTATTACATGACATTATTATTTAAGACATCAACAGTTAAGTTTATTCACAATTTTTATACATTAATCTATTACTTGAGATCGGTGAAGGCTAGGAACACAATATTTTCAAATCCAGGATATTTTTAACTTAATTTTATGTCCATAAATAGTTCATAAATAAATAAAAAAACAAGCCAAAGTGCAACATATTTATCTTAACATTGTCAAACATCTTATATTGGTTAAAAAAAACTATACATCATAAATATATGGAATAATATACACAAAGATTGATTAATAATAATAAGATTCTGAGTTAAACTTGGCCAGAACGTTCACAACCAAAACAAAACAAAAACGCTATATCCACCTTAGGCTATATTCTACTACAGTAATATAATTAAGAATAGCTAGTGAATTAATGTTTTGTTTGATAAGTAAGATTAAGTTAGTTAGACTAACAACTTGTAGCTTGTTACAGAAAGAGTGGAGGGCAGCTCCTTCGCACTGCTGCTAAAAACCAAACCTGTATGATCAACGCGGGCAGAGCCGCAGTGTCTGTGGCACCGAGCCCGCAACACAAGCTCGCCTCGCCCTGTGATTTTTTTAATGAATTATTATACTGTAATAATAATAATAATAATAGCTTATTTATTGGTTGTTGTGAAAAAGCAAGACCGTTTATTTTTCTCCATAACAACCTGTGCCCTTTACGTTCCCTTATAGTAAATCAAGAACAACAAGAACTAACGAGAGGTTTTAGGCTATAAATAATAAGTGCAACCGCATAAATAAATCTTCAGATAGGCTACTCAGCTACATGTAAGAAATTATTTTTCAAAATAAACTTACAAAGGACACTTTGAAATGTCGCCTTGCAGACAGGTATCCTGTGATGGGGGAAAAAAAAGTGCTCCCTGGTCTTCCTCTTGACATCAGCGGAGACTCGTTCCCTGCTGCATTTGTGTAATGCTGACAGACGTATTTTGTTCTGGTCCACTTTTTTAGCGTTTTTATACATTTTTGTGAAGTTGAAGGCTTCATCTTCTATCGCTAAATCAATGAGTAAACTCGGAGCACTTCACCGGCGGTGACTCTCCTTCCAGGGGATGCTGAGCTCGCGCCGCATCCTGAACGTTCTATAACTGTTATATCCAGGGCTTAACATTAACTTTTTTGACCACCAACCACTGTGGCAAGTAGTTTTCCAACATTACTAGCCACTCGCCATTTTCACTAGCCACAATTTAATTGTTGGGAAAATATATTTTATACACATAAATATGACTTTGACATGCTAAAATTACTTTATTTAGAGTTTGCGTTATCTCTACATGCCTCCTCATTCATTTCACCTTCTGTGTGTCGTGTATGAGCTTGCTCAATAATCATGAGCAAATGGGTCAGGGTTTCATATATTACATTTAGTTTTCATAATTTTCAGAGCACAAAATGAAGGATTTACCCAATTTATATCAGACCACACCATACATAAACAGTTAATTATTTCTTAGCCACAAATTTTAAATGTGCGAAAACATGCAAAATATAGCTGAATACTATACTTTTTGTTTAACAAAACATATGTACAGTCATATATCCTGGCTAAAGGTTCCAGATCACCAGTTAACTACACATAAATGGGGAGTTAATCTCCTATTAAAGCAATGTTATTGCAAAAAAAGATAATTAAACCATATTAATGCAAAAGAAAGCAGGTAAAAAAACATACTGTGTGACCACACACACGCATGGTTAATGATAGACCCATAAATTATCTTTTCAAAGAATAATTAAAGCGAAAGCAACTGGCGCTGCTTACAATAAGTCAACTCTGGAACTCTTGAAAGCAGCAAGACTGTGGGTGCATGTTCCTCCCTTTTTGTTCAGCCTATTTGAAAGAGAACCGATCGCATCAGTTGTTTCTAGACACAGTTGATACACAAAAGGAAACGGGAGCACGCACACCTCAGCTGTTCTCAGCTCTCATTCGGTATTTACCTGCTTTGCTCGCGCGAAGTTACGAATGCAATTATTTTTGTCAGTCGTGTTGCTTCTCGATCGCCTGTGCATGCATATAGGACCATCCTTATTGTCGAACCCTGCTTTAAAGAATTATTATCGGGGAAAATTATTTTCAGCCAGCCAAAGTGGCAAGTGGGAGTGTCTGTCTTACCCGCCACCGCCGAAATCGACCCGCATTTGGCGGGTGTTAATGTAAAGCCCTGGTTATATCGCACTTTGTAAAGAAACTGGTCTGGCGGATATCGCGTTTTGTGAAAAAATACATTTTGTACTCGACCTAAAATGTACATTCCTAAATGTTATTAATGGCAGCAATTCACACATAGATTAAGGCACATCTGAACAGTGATTTCCAATAATAAAATCCAAATGCCAAAAAATGTTGTTTATCGCGTTTTGCAATCAAACTCTTCAAATATAACACAAATTATTGGCTGGGACTAATTGTCACCTCACGTACTTCTTGAGTCCAGATGAGGTTTACCTGCATATATTGTTGATGGAAATGTCTCGGAGCTGCTCATACATGGACGGCTGGCTCTTCTTGCTGGAGTGCGAGCTGAAGGTGGACTGGGAATGCTCGTTGGTGACATGAATCTTGATCTCACCTGCTCCTGTTAAGTTGAAGATGGGAGTTTGTTTGAAAGTAATTAAAGTAAAGGGCAGCATTAATCTACTTCTGACGAGACCAAAATCAGGAGATGATCTGACCTGTGGTGTACTGACTGTGGTACTTGTAGAGCTTCACTAGTACAGGTGAAGGAACCACCAGAAAATCTCGTAGAGACATGGTCACAGAGTGAGCCACCACAGGAAAACGCTCACAGAGCCGGCCGAGACCCTGATTCAACAACACACAGAGCACAAATACACCAGAAATTAAAATCTATTTTGGCGGCTCAGTGGTTAGCACAGTTGGCAAGAAGGTCACTGGTTCAAGTCCCAGCTGGGCCAGTTGGCAATTCTGAGTTTGCATGTTCTCCCATGTTAACGTGGTTTTCCTCCGGGTGCTCCGGTTTCCTCCACAGTCCAAACACATGCGCTATATGTGAACTGAGTAAACTAAATAGGCTGTAGTGTATGAGTGTGTGTGTGTGAATGATTGTGTATGGATGTTTCCCAGTGCTGAGTTGAGGCTGGAAGGGCATCTGCTGCGTGAAACATATGCTGGAATTGTTGGTGGTTCATTCCGCTGTGATAAATAAGAGACTAAGCCAAAGGAAAGCCTGACTTCTACATACTGAGCATTAGTTCTGCCATTCTAGAAACCATTCTAATGAAATCAACCACTGATCAAATCAAGCAAGTTTAGCTTTAATAATTGATTTCCACATTTCTATTGACGCTGCAGTAATCACAGGGCCCTATGAAATGTCATATTGCATCCCAAAGTGTCCAGAAGTCAAGACGCACCTGTAAGCAGCAGATGAGCAGAGGCATGTGGGCGATGATGACTTTGCTGGACGTCTTGGACTGGAGCTTCTCTGACAGTTTAGTGCAGAGATTTTCAGCGCCTGACAGAAATAATCCCAAATATGAAGAGTTAGAAGGGTCATGTGCAGTGGTAGAAAGACTACCGAAGAATCACACTCAGGTAAAAGTACCATTACCTCATCAAAAACGTAGAGCAAGTATCTTGTAAATAGTAGGGGTGTCAAAATTAATTGTTTCTTCGGTGCACCGCGATGCAGACGTGGACAATTCGGTATCGGTTCAGTAATAATCATAACCGGTTATTATGTACTGACGTCATTTATCTCCTATGCGCTCTGTCGCGAGGGAGGTGAGCGCGAATATTTACAACACTCAGGCAACTCAGGGCCGGCCCGTGGCATAGGCACCATAGGCATATGCTAAGGGCGCTGCACATCCGGGGGGGTGCCAAAAATGAACGCGGTTCAGGTGGCTTTGTTTTCGATTTTCCTGACACACATTCAGTTATAGACGGCATTGAAGGATTTTGACTTCTTCTTTGCAATCCGTCTCATCATGGACCAACGTTTATCCTTTTCATCATCGTGTTTCTCAGTATTTAACTGTGAATTGATTTTAATTAATGAATAAGTTAACACATTGCTTAATATAAGAATGTTCAGTGCATTTGCCTGTCTCTTTATAACTATTTTCAGAAGCCATCATACTAGGTCAGAGGTCACGGAGACCTTGAGTGGAACTGAGGGCTGAGGACTGGAAGCAACTAGGGATGTAACGGTATCAGAATTTCACGGTACGGTAATACCTCGGTATGAATGTCACGGTACGGTATTTATTGAATCATTTACAGGAAAAAACAAAACTTATGAAAATACTCCAAAAAAGTGCCAAAAGTGTCAATGACATACAAATTAGTCATCTATCTGTAAGCTTTGAAACAGGAACTTCAATTTTAATAACAAAAAACTATTAAACCATGTAAAAAAAAAAAGTTTCAATTTAGTATTGTTGAAAACTCATCACATTCAACATTTAATCACTCACTCACTTAGATAGAGATGGGTTTAAAGGAAAATTATCATATAAATATAATTTGGTAAAAGCTGGTATCTCTGGGTATTTACAATGTCCCCTGCAACAGAAAAAAACCCTCTCATTTGGGACTGAGGTTTCTGGGACAAGAGAGATATGACTTGGCCCAGGTTGACAGCAGTGGGTAACGTTGTGCATTGTCTTTCCCCCACTTGAGAGGACAAACCATGAGTGAGATAGAGGTCTCATGTCTGCATCAATCTGAACAGAGTGCTGACAACACCGCTTTTCAGTACGTGCGCGACAACAAAGCTGATAAGAACTCGCGCGACAACACCGCTGATAAGAACTCGCGCGACAACACCGCTATTCAGTACGCGCGCGACAACACAGCTGATAAGAACTTGCGCGACAACACCACTATTCAGTACGCGCGCGACAACACAGCTGATAAGAACTCGCGCGACAACACCGCTATTTAGTACGCGCGCGACAACACAGCTGATAAGAACTCGCGCGACAACACCGCTATTCAGTACGCGCGCGACAACACAGCTGATAAGAACTCGCGCGACAACACCGCTATTCAGTACGCGCGCGGCGACAACACCCGCTTTAGAGTTTTCCAGCTCTTTTTCATCCCCGCTTCTAGCAGCACACTCCATTTCCGCATTACTGGATCTGTAGCGACAACAGACCGCAAGGGATGATGGTCAAGCATGGGCTGATGGGAACTGTAGTTTTCGCTACCTCCCGTTCGCTTCATTCGCCTGAGCAAATTTTCTCAGAAGACCTATAGTTTTACCGAGTCATGCGACTACGGTAATATCGAAAATAATTAATATTGCGGTATGACGGTATTTACAATACCGTTACATCCCTAGAAGCAACTGTTTCTATTGTTATTTCTATGAGTTAATATTGTCTAAAATGTCTAAAGTGATTTTGCTATTTTTACGGTTAAATCTTTTTAAGTGATTCTACTTTTTATTCAAGATAGACTTTGTGTAGTAAGAATATAACTGCCTGAATGTAGATGATAGCGGTTTTTAACCAGTTTTGATAAAGACGGCTGAGAGTACATAGGAAACAGATTGTACTTTATGTGTGTGTGTTCTATTTGATTGTTGATCCGTTTCACAGGTCTGGAGTCAGCTCTAATCAGTCTAAGGGATGTCTGACGTTTATGCTTAAGATATTGTTCAGAATATACGCACGAACCCCACATGGAACTTTTCCTAGTCTCTGTGTTTTAACCAATCAGGTTAGAGCACCTATATGTATGACGCAGTTAATGACGTTATGTGAGAGTATAATTGTTATTGATTGGTGATTGTAAGCAGAGCGGCCTAGGAACTCATTGCGAGTGTTGAAGCTGGCTTCTGCTGATGTAACTGCAAACTATCTTCAGTAAACTTGATTTATTTATTTAACTCTCTGACTCCGGCTCTTCTTTATCTACCAGACTGGTCATTCTTTGGGTCAAACTGTAAACTATCCCTACAGTTTTGACTCAAAAACCTCTTACCCTAAAAAGAACTAAAGTGTGTTTCCTACAAAAAGACAAAGCTGGTTATGTTTCACAGCTGTGATTACGTTGACTATCTCTAATTACAATTGTGACTTGTCAAAACTCATTTAGAGATATCTGCAAATATTTTTCAATGGAAGTCAATGGAGGAATATGACTAGTCATAATATATTTGCAGATATCTCCAATCTGATTTCGTACTAGTACAATTGTAATTGCAGATATCTCTAATTGTCATTCTGACTAGTCGAATTATAATTATGACTAGTCAAAATATAATTAGAGATATCTCTAAATATATTTATGGAGTCAGAACAAAGATTTTGTAACAGCCTTCCATTGCTGTTATCGCCAGAAATGGGGGTGAGCACGTATTTCACGCGTGCAATCAGAGTCCATGCATGCTAAAGTTGTTTTTAAGCAGAATGTCTTTATTTGTGCAGGTGAATTAAACAAAGCCTCAATCTTTGCTTCTCCTTTCTTCTTTATCATGTCAATATAACATTCACTCCATGTATACACAGCACATATCTAAACACTGCTGTTTTCTGGCTAGCAAACAAATTACTCTGTGGCACGGTCAAAAACCGTGTGCTTTCCCATACCTGACGCTCTTCCTCGCTTACACAGGCACCTTAGTTATAGTTTTCAGCTAGTGACACCTAGTGGACAACATAAATCACTACAACACAAAAAATGGCTCCTACAGATTTCAATGCTTAAAAGGTTTGCCATAGAGAGCACATCTCACTGAACAGCGCAGCATCGATGACGTAAGCGTGCCGAGGCCTGATATGGTGTGAGTGCGGGCCGCCGGGAGAGACGGGAAGGGGGACAAGCGTACGGCCTAAGTAATGACCCACAAATGCTCGATCACGGCCCTGCCCATGTGGGCTTGGGCTCAGACAGAGAAACTAAACTCTATAGGACACCTTCCAAACATGCCTCGAAATTGTTCATTACGGTTGAAAATTATTATTATTTGATTGGACTGGAATCGCAGGAGTGATCTTTCGATTTTTCGACAATAAAAAAGTGGCTGCAGATTAATAAAAAACAGTGGAGTAAAAGTGCCGATACTGCACTAAAACTGTACTGAAGGGAAAGCAAAAGTACACATTTTTAAAACCACTTAAAAACTGGTGAAAAACTTCTCAATTACAGAAATTTGAGTATTTGTAATGTTACTTTACACCGCTGTTCACAAGACATAAGTGTTGTGGTGTATTTCTCTGTCAAGTCTTACCCTGTTCTTCCGTGACGGCCCACACCATGAGGTCCACACAGGCGGCGTTGGCCTGACAGCGCAGCTTAAGCGGGTTCAGTTCACTGTGCAGATACTCCACATCGTGCAGGATCCTCTGCAGCTCAGACTGACTGCTGCTGAACTGCTCCAGAACAAAGTCATGGACCTCCTTCACAAACGACACCTGCAGATCTGCACACACAAAAAAAAATGCGCAAAAAATGTGATAAAACATCTGTAGAAAAAGCGTGACTGATTTGGTTAATGTAAATAAAACACTTTTATTTAAATACAACACTTTCTTAGTGGCCGATCACACTGTGCACCCTTTTCCATTCTATGAATGCAAGGCACAGCACACTGCCTTTTTGTTGACAAGAAAAAGACTGACTTACTTCCAGGCCTGCTGCTTTTTAACATTATAATAAAATTGTGATATTCAAGATTTGTGAAGTTATACAGCGCTGGAAAACTCCAAACAGCAACCACTAGTCTTTCCTTCATCTTTATTAACGAATTACTGTTTCCCTGTTACAACGCCCTCTCCATTACTGACAAAAAAATATGCGTTAATATAATTGAGAAGGCTGAAGTTGTTTTCATGTGAGCAGCGTCTCTCTCAGCCAGCCATAGGAACCCTCCTTCTCTGGGGTGTGTGTTTGTATGTGTTCAGGGCTGGGGCGGGTCACATAACCAACCAGTGATGATGATTGGTGCGTCTGTGAATGTGGTGTATTTGAGAACATGATGATTGGCTTAGATTGAGTTTATTTCCATCGTTTGCCAATCAGAGGCAAAGTACACCAACGCCCAGGATTCAGAACTATGGCTTTTCCCTCCCTGAGGTAAACGGCAGAGTCTATGTATTTACAAAGACTCAATTTATCATTGAGTCTATGTATTTACTTGTGTGTAAATTTAAATTTATTCAGTTTTTAAATTAATTTTAAGAATTATATTGTGATAAAATAATAGTAATATTAAAATATTCATATGATTTAAGTACAATACAATTTGTAAAGTCATTAATTCTGTCTTTTAGTAGATATATTATTTGAGAGACTTGCTTCGTTTACCAAATAAGCGGCTCTAATAGGATTTGCAGTGTAAACATTAAATAAAAGTTGAAAAGGTATTATTTTTTATTTCATGGATTACGTTTTTAGGTATGAAACTCCTAAAATCATTCTGCATTAATCTGCAGATTTTTTACAAAATTCTCCACAGAAATAGCAAAAATGTCCGCAAATTCTGTCTGGCACTATTAATTTCTCTTTTAAAGAAACGTTCCCAACACTGGTTATAAATACACAGAGAACAGAACAGAACAGAACAGAACAGAATTAAATGACATTATTATCTTCAAAACCATCTAGTTATAAAGTTAAAGAGCGGCCAACAGGGAAGTTTCCTGGTTCCCCGAAAGCCACCTACTATTTCTATCCGTGCTACGTTCTTGTTACGTCCTGGTTAATGAGGTGCACCATCACATGTTCGGAGAATAGCTTTTTAAATATATAATATTTCATATCAATGTAATGACAATGTGTGTGATATTTTTATTACCAGTTATGATTCCTCTATTTAGGAAAATATCAATTGTCTTAAAATGCTAATTTAAAATCGCTAACGCTAAACAGCAATCATGTTTATGACAGATTTATGACAAGTTTTGTTGTCTTGGTAACGTTAAGTTGTCACGACAAAAACAAAAAACAGGTTGTGATGTAATTATATATTTTAAGTTCATTTATTCATTCACTCATTCATTTTCCTTCGGTTTAGTCCCATATTTATGAGGGGTCGCCACAGTGGAATGAACCACCAACTTATCCAGCATATGTTTTACGCCAGGGGTCTCAAACTCAATTTAGCTGGGGGCCGCTGGAGGCAGAGCCTGGGTAAGGCTAGGCTGCATCAGGTTTTCCACAAGAGATTAATTATATTATTCATTAATAATTTCTCATTTGTTTATTTTTTTATTTTAATATTTTTTTTAAATAAAGAATTTTAAGAAGATTGGATTTTTTAACACAAAATAAGATGATAAAACAAACCAACTAAAAATTAAAATTAAAATAAATCAATCAGTAATAAATAATAATAATAATGATAACAGTAATAATAATAATATTAATTAGATTTACTGCTATCCGCTGTGCTGTTGTTTCAGAAAAAGAAGCAACACTGTGTTGTTGTCATTTGTTTTGACTACTTTTACATCATATGGAAATATATGTAATGTTTATTGTGTGAGGCAATGCAATTACAATGCAAGCAGCGAGTTTGAGACCCATGTTTTCCGCAGTGGATGCCCTTCCAGCAGAAAATATGTCAAGCTTTCATAACAAACAATGTCATCGTTGCATTTAAAATGTCAGAACTGAGCGAATGGCACTGTGAGCGAATGTGTGATGTCATGATTATAAAGGTTTCATGACATGTTCATGTCTTCTGAACACCCCTTCAAGTCAAGTGTTTCCAAAAAATGCGTTTTAAAAATTACCTTTCATATAATACAACGAGTCCCTCAGCATTTTAAAGATGGCCACGTACAGCGGGTCACTGAAAGTCTTGTAGTACAGATAAGCCGTGGGATTGATCTGCGAATCAACACAGAAATCTTGTTTGTTTTTAACAGCATAAATAAAGCAGAAGAGTTGAAATCAAAGCATGTACCTCCAGAACTTCAGTCATGGCCTGATCCAGTGTCTTCATGAAGGATTCTGACACAAACTGCTCGACCTATCGGAGAAGAGACAGAAATGTGGTAAACACACTGAAGGCAGAAGAACATGATGGACTCTAGATACGCCGCAGAACACAGACCATCTGCAGAAGCTGCCTCAGTAAATCCAGCGGTACGGTAAACTCTTTATTGTTGCTGCCTGTGAAGAGCGGAGAGACTGAGAAGCTGGAGCTGATGGTGGAGAAATAGTAGTCCGGGTCCACAGCACTGCCGTCGGGCAGATACGAGGCAGCTGGAGAACAAAAACATGAACAAGTTAAAAAAAAACCAAATAAACCTAGACAGAAACAAATAGTTACACATTTTACTTTATTAAGATTTTAAACTGTAAGATGATATACGTATGTATTAAGGGTGTAATTAGTCTTTAATTTGTAGATGAATAACTCCCGGAACAAAACTAGGAAATAAAAGTTACCGTGAATGACGGGCACCACACATTTTCTGTTTTCCCGGAACATGACGTCATTAAACAGTGATTATTTTGTGCCATATAACGTTAAAGGTCAGTCATGAATAGGGTTGTAACGGTATGAATTTTTCACGGTATGATAATCGTCTAAAACAATACCACGGTTTGACGGTTTCGCGGTATACGGTATGTTACAAATGTTACAAAATAATAGAACAGTGAAGCAAATTTGACTTTTTCCATATAATATATTTTTAGTTATTATAAACAACACCACTTACAATGAACAAATAAAAATAAGAAAATAATAAATAATGTGTCAAAGTCCAAATAAAGTCCAAATAAACATGGTGCAAATCCTCAGTAAAAAATAGATATAAATATTTACTATACTATAAATAGTTACATAACGAAACTAGATTCATTATGGAACATCCTTAGGTTCTATGTGCCAGCATGGATTTGGATGTGGTTGTATGCAATGCAGACAAACAGCTGCATCTTCATTTGCGTCTTTTGAAAACAGCAAGAGCAGCAGTTCGTCTTTGCTGTGTCACTGTTTTGTCATGTTTCTGTGCTGCTGTGCATGCAAAAGTACTTAGTATGAGAATTATTTCATGCAAAACTTTTTTTTTTGCGTTTTATTTAGCCGCGCAGAAATGTATGCCTATCTCTCATTCTGTGTTGTTCAAAAAGCTCATGTTGGTCCACAAACAAAAGCGAAACCTATGCTTATTGGTTGTGATATAGCGAGTTTGAACCAATCTGGGCATGGAGGAGGGACAATGCATCAATGTATCATGTCTGATTTGTCCGGAGACACAGTGACGAGCGTTTCTTTGTCAAATCAGCGTTGTCAAATGTTGATGACGTAACCGCACTGATTCCGGAGCCTCTGAAAGTCCGCGAATGTTATGTGATACAGCACTGGAAAGCTGAGATTCTCTTCTTTATGCCAATCTTTGAATTGTATGAATAGGATCAGCGGATCAAAAGTTATTAAACATTTAAGAGCAATACTTATTTTTAGCCGCGGGCGGCTGTCTCGGTCTTTAAGGGTTAAAACCGTTGATATGCAATTGTTCATGGTATGATAATCGTGCACGTTCAAATCGTGGTAAACCGTCATACCGGTATATTGTTACAACCCTAGTCATGAACAATAAAAACATGTAGCTACAAACATAAATCGTATGAACAATCACTATTTAGTAGGGGTGTAACGATTTATTGCGATGCAAAAATGTCACAATATGCATCGTGGCGTTATGACGTTTTGATTACGATATAACGTCCGTTTTCTCTTATTAGTTGACCTGTTTGCAGTGTGTGTGTGTGTGTGTGTGTGTGTGTGTGTGTGTGTGTAATATATATATATTTATTTATTTATTTTTAATTACCTCAAAATTGAAAACACTGAATTAGACTGAATTTAAGAACTGTGGAAAAACTTGTTTATATTTTTTAATTCACCTTCGAAATAAGGAGCAGAAGGGTCAGAGGGAGAACTCGGAGGAAGTCCAGCACGTTCTGGACTGGCCTGTAAAAAACAAGCAGGTCATGAGTAAATACCAATGCAATTGTCACAGTATTCCCTATAATTTTTCTTCTTCTGGAGAAAGTCTGATTTGTTTTATTTCAGCTGGAATAAAGGAATAAATTGTTTTAAAATTGTTTAAAACAAAAAAAAAAAAACAATTATAAGGTCAATATTATTAGCTCACGTGTCTCAAACTCAATTCCTGGAGGGCCGCAGCTCTGCACAGGTGTTCAAGACTACTAGAGACTATTAAGCAGGTGTGAGTTGGAAGTGGTTGGAGCTGAAATCTGCAGAGCTGTGGCTCTTCAGGAATTGAGCTTGAGACCGTTGTATTAGCCCATTTAAGCAATATTCTTTTTGATTGTATACAGAACAAACCGCTATACAAAGACTTGCCTAATTACCCTAACCTGTCTAGTAATTAGCCTTTAAATGTCATTTTAAGCTGAATACTAGTGTTTTGATTAATATCTAGTTAAATATTATGTGCTGTCATCATGGCAAAGATAAAAGAAATCAGTTATTAGAAAGGAATTACTAAAACTATTATGTTTAGAAATGTGTTGGAAAAAAATCTTCTCTCCGTTAAACAGGGGAAAAATAAACAGGGGGCGAATAATTCTGACATCAACTGTATATAATCAAAACAAAAGATTTAGTAAATTGTATCCAAACAAAAAGGGCAACAGAATCTCAATTAAACTAAAGCAGCACTTGTGTGGTTTATCTTCCAGCTTGTATTTTACAGCAGTAGACGCCACCTGCCGGTGAAGAGAAGAAATGCAGTCTGTACCTGTTGTGAGATGCTGGAAGTGCTGCTGGTTTTGCGGCGTAAAGTGTCACTTTGGCAAACGGTGAGGAGTGAGCTGGGCAGGATGGAGCGGAAATCATTAAAAGATCTCCGTCGGGTCACCTCTGCGCCGTCGCCGGTGCCTGGAGGCTGAGGAACGATCCGGGGGAAGAGTTTAGACAACAGCGGCTCCTCTGTGTTGCTGTAGCGGCCAAACGCTCGCACCACACCGAGCAGACAGGGCACGGTGTATTTACACAGGTATTCTGGGAAGGGAAGTCAGAAGAGAGTATTTTGTACTCCGCAATGAAAAATAACAACTTTATGATTTTTAAAATATATATTGCACATCAAGGGCTCTATTTTGACAGTCCATGAGCAGAGCGCAAAACGCAGGGCGCAAACGCTTTCAGGGTGTGTCAGAACGCATTTTTGCTAATTTGAGGACGGGAAAATCCGCTTTGCGCCAAGGCGCATGGTCTAAAAGGGTTGAGTTTATTTTCTTAATGAGTTAAAGGTGTGTTTTGAGAATAAACCAATTAGAGTCTCATCTCACATTCCCTTTAAGAGCCAGCTGCGTCGCGCCATAAGCGCATTTTAACGTAAAGTAAGTTCACTTTCGCTTTTGCTCTCGTGGATAGGGAAACTTTTACGCACAGACATCAATTAGCCTATTATTAATTAATTTAGTTTGTTAAGCGCAAAGATTTGTTTCAAAACTATTTCTAAATTCAGTTCTAATTTTCAGCAAACAAATAAATGAACAATAATAACCAAGTGAGGTCAAAATACTGAGTTATTTCCAAATACACCTACCATGCCCCATATGGTCTAAAACCTGACAGGTGGACAAATCTAAACTTGTTTTTAATAAAACAAATATAAATATGGATATAATAAATAATACTGCTAATAATAATAACATTATACAAAAGCAAATTGAATGAACTGAAAAAGCCTCCCGAGATGAAGAAAGTAAGGCAGTGGTTTTTAAATCTTCATGTAGGCTAGAAATTAATATGTTTTGTAATATTTTAATCATTTATATTTATATCCTGTATATATCCTTATATATATATATATATATATATATATGTATGTATATAAATATCCTTAATATATTATATATTTTTCATATGTAAAGATATTTGCGTATTGCTCTGCATCTTGTGTGTAGTGTGTAAGCCAGGCGCACTTTGTGCCAGACAATAGACGACTTTGTTCTGGTCTAAAGATCAGACTATTTACAGTTTCTCAAAATAGCAACGCGCCAAAACACGCCTGCTTTTTTAGACCAGAACGCCTATGGGCGCACATTTGAGCGCAAATGTATTTGCTATTTAAACAGTGTGGCGCAACGCCTCAAAATGACCCTTGCGCCAAGCTAAAAGTAGCAAAAGAGTATTGCGCTGCGCCTTGCGCCACACTGCGCCGGGTGTATGATAGGGCCCCAAGTGTCCACCACGTACTTCCGGCGAACGGTTACTGTGACTATTTTCACTTTCATAATGTTTTTCATAAGCGTCGATAATGTAACTTAATTAAAATATAATCAGTTGAATAGTCTTAAGTATTCAATTAATTGTTTTAATTTTTCAAATAAGCAAATAAGTGTAAAACGAGATTAAAACAAGCGTAAAACAACCGTTAAAAACTGTTGACTGTCTTGCAATGACTATAAAAGCTATGAATTTTGCATAAAATGTCAAATAAACTGAAATTTCACATGGTATTCCAGGTGGGAAAAAAACACAGACCTTTATCTTGGCCCTCGATGTTCTGACATGTTTCCTGTAGCACCTGAATGAGGTTCATCACAGCCTCCAAAATCTGAAATATTTGAGAGGAAATAAAAATATTAGCTGTCGCTCTTAATTTGACACGTCATAAATGAAAATGATGTGCGGGATGTCATTCTGTTGTGTCAAATGTACATCTAGTCATGCAATAAAACCTTTAAACTAAACCTGTTTTCATTTCACCATGTTAAAAAAACATTTGCTTGAGACATTAAAGGGGAGCTATTATGCAAAAATCACTTTAATAAGAGGTTTACACACACTTGTGTGGCTACAGTCTCTGAATATAACCAGCTTCTAATAATAAAATGCATGAATTTGTTTTATGATCACACTTGACAAAAACACTTCGACATTCTCCCTTTGTATGTGTGATCAGAGGGAGAAGCCCCTCCCATAAGTGACCATCTCTCCCTCATTAGCATAGGACATTAGTCTTGCTTTTGAATCTGCCACTATGCTGATGCATAGGCTTTCGTAGCTCCGCCCTCTTTTGAAAAGAGCACAATCTCATTTGAATTTAAAGCGACAGTCACCAAAACACCACAATCAGGATCAAAGCATAAAAGAGGCAGTTTCAAAATTATTTGTGGGATATTTTGAGCTGAAACTTCACAGAAATATGAGGCACAATAGGTCCCCTTTAAAATTGCCTTCGCAAATACAGTGAGAGTATTCCTATACATAAAAAAACATATATAGAAGAAATAGGATAGGCAAACTAAACTCCTCAAGTAAAGCATGAATCCTCATGAACACACCTGGATGCGCATGGATTCATCCATCTGGGCCACGTCTGAGAGCACCGTCACCAAACAGAAGGAGAAATTCTCCGCAATGGGAAGCGCTTCTGAAAAGAGGATGAGTGGACAGTGAGAGCAGGAGTATTTGAGAATGTAGTGAGGAGATTTAAACAATAAAAATAAAAAACAGGTAGATGATTCATACCTCGTCCTTTCCTTTCTGAGCTCTCCTCGATCCATTGCACCCTGGGCAATCCCTTTAGCAAAACCAACAAGTACGGGACAATAGCATCCTTGTGCTGGAGGAGAAAATAAACCATTGAAGACCAGTGAAAATTTATTTTTTTTAAATGTTACATTTCAGTTGCGACTGGTATTAAATTCAATACTTTTGTCAACCCTAGTTGCTGCTACGCATGTCAATGGCTGCTTTTTTCCAATATTCTTCAGAATATCTTGTTTAGCAAAGCAATTCATAAAAGAACCACTTGAGTGTTAGCAGGGCATATGCAGAAATCCTAAAGGAAATTTCAATACCTTTTAAAGACTTTTTAAAGACACTTCGGACAACGCTTAAACAAAATGTAAGACCTCTAAAAACATGAGTAAGACTTTTTAAGGACCTTCATTTTCTCATAATTGATTTATCAACTTTTTTTTACTTAGTTTTTATTGATATTTTAGGAACATAACCAGTAGGAACAAAACAAATAAAAAATACATATACACATAAACATACATATGTATACAAACTTATATAGGCCAATACAACACATGTATATCTACATACATACATACATGTTTAAAAATATTAAATTAACCTCATGAAAATAAATAGATAAATAAGTATAAAATAAAATATAATAAAAGACTGCCAAACATATTTTCACAATTCTGCATAACCTTTAGAATTATGTAAATGTTCAATTCTAAATAATTATATTGTCGTCGAGGAGAAAGCCAGCCATTCACTCCATTTCTTTTCAAAGATCTCTAATTGTAATCCAGGGCTTGAAATTGCGACCATTTTGGTCGCATATGCGCCCGAAAATTAATCTATGCGACCTCATAATATATTTGGGCGCATTAGTGCGACTGCAGATAATGGTTGTAGTGCGACCTGTTTTGATTTTTTGTAAAAACGTGCTGATCCGCTCTTCCCTGCCGCTATATTGGTTCATATTAGCTGTCATTCACTCAAGGTATTCAGCTGTCAGATGACAGGGAAGGAGCTTTAATGACCACGGGAAATGCAAACAGCTGAAGAGTAAAAACTTAAAGCACACAGGTTTGCAAACCCCACCTAAAGTTGAGGCGCAGATGAGAGCGATCATGACACGTCACGTGGTGAATAATGATCCGCCAGCTGAGATCAATCGAGTACGCGCTTCTTGGAGAAGGTGCCAGAATCTCCATGCGTTGCATTCACTGCGTGTTCAGCGCAAATGTCCGCTAAAAGTCCAATCTAATACTGTACATATCATCGCCAAAGAAGCTTGCCTTTACTAAGTTTACACTGAAACTGCGGCTCATAACAAAGACCGGTATTGGGCCGATGGTTACCGCAAGAATCTTGCTCTGCCTGCTCATAAATTGGGTCGGCTGACTCGCCTGCTTTCCACTAACACAGAAAAATGAAGATCATCTCAGACTGAACCTTTAAATTGACACAAACTGAAACCAAAACTTTTAAAGAGTGATAGAAGTGAGACTTTACTTACTTTCTTTTGTCTATTCTTTTTTGAGGTGTATATTATTTTTTTATTTATTTACTGATGACGGCTTTGCAGCTTTCATCATTGAATTGAATGATTTATTATAATCTTTTGTTTGTTTTGTAGCAGAAATATTATTTATTAAATTGACATGCATATAAAAACAGCAGTACAAAATCAATATTTCTTACTGCAATGCTTCATTTTTGTTTGATGCAAACTATATAATTATTTTTCATAAAGTAAGTAAAGACTTTTTATAGCAGATAACCTACATTCATGCACATTCAAGGCAGTATCATAATGAGAAATGGAATTCATTGTTACTATTATTGTCATTTTCATTATTATTAATATTCTATAATTATTAAACATTCATTTTGGAATTATTGCACACAAATATCAATGTTTTCGCAGCATTAGTTAGATAGTTGTTTCTGGTTTTTGTCAGTCCTATTAATGTTGTTTTAAAATACAATAAATCCTTTAAAATTTGCAGCTGTGCTCATTCATTTTTGGTGGGTGCTCCTAAATTTTTTCTGGTGCTCCTAAAATTTTTTTGTTGCTCCTAAATATTTGAAGTTGGGAGCACCGGTGCTACCAAGTAAAAAAGTTAATTTCGAGCCCTGTAATCAAAGTGCATGTGTCATTTTTTACATTTCCTCAACTTCTGCTATAACTTTAAACCATTTATCTTTAGTTGGTGGCTCTTCTTTATACCATTTCCGGGTTATAGCTTTTTGATTTATCAACTTTTAATACTTTTTAAAGCCCCGCGGACACCCTGGTTAGTAAAGAGTGAGGAACTTTTTTGAGTTAACTATCCCTTTATTATATTTTGGGGAAAAAAGTGTTTTTAAAGTGCTTTAAATGTGCCTCATTAGTCCTGATTTTAATCAATGAAACATATAGTTTGACTATGTTAAACCAATACCTGCAACTCAGACTCCACTAGGAAGATCCCAAGTGCGATCACAGCATCTCTCCTCCGCTCGTCCAGCTGGAAAACACCACGGATGTCCACAGGACACATGCATTGTAGCTTCTGGACCTATATTTAACAAATGTGCATTTTAAAAAATTGTGAAATACTTTTTATTGCCGAAGCAGGGAGATTTCTTTTTGTGTCAGTATTATAATCTGTAAAAATATTTCATCATATATTTTGTGAACCAAAAAAAAAAGATCACACCACTACAATCATTTATTTATTAGCTAAAATCATTAAAATGCTTTTGGACAATTGGAAATGTTTCTTTGGAAGCTATACTTCAAATAGAAAGCACTGAAATTACTCAATCAAAACAAATTAACATATTTATTTAAAAGAGAATCATTACGTCTTCAGTAAAACAATATAATGTGGCCAAAAATGGCCATAAAGACAGCAAATATTCACAGCATGTCACATAAAAATGCATATTAAACAGTAATATTTAAATTAAATATTAAAAAAACTAAATACAATTAAAAACTAAAGATAAAAATACATCACGCTTCACTGTAAAAAAAAAGCTGGGTTCCACAAAATCTACTGTGCTGGGAAAACAAAGGAATTAAGTTCACTTGTTAGTTTTTACAAATTTAAGTGGATTCAACATAAAACAATTGAGTTGTTTCAAACAAAAATTCAAGTAATGTGTTGTTTCAGCTCATTTTAAATAAGAAAACTGAACAAACGGCATACCTAATTTTTTTTGTTGCTCAAAACAATAATAAAAATTACATAAAACACAAAAATAAACACTGAACACCAAATTCTTCACCATGTAATAATACAATAGGAAAATACACATAATGAAAACGTGATGCAGGATTAAGTTCAGCAATGTACAGGGAAGTTTTAAACTTCCCCTTAAAATATACTATTGATAACAAGTCTCAAAAAGGCTTGCAAAAAGCGTATATTAAGCCAGCAAAAGTGAATTTTAGACACCAGCATATTTTGATTTTATGAAAAGCTCAACTTTGCACACATTTACTAAGCCATTACTAAGCCTACAGTTGAACTCTCTATAGAGTTTGCAACACCTGTCTAGTTCTTCACATCCGGTCAGTAAAAATATGCTAAAAATGAGCTTAAAGCAAAATTCGGACATTCCCCTTAAGACTTTAATTTCAGAAAAATATTATTTTGAAGGAAATGATATTAGCAATCAATTACAATCACAGTACAAAAGTATTCACAGTCAATTAAATACTTTGGTAATTTTCTTTTAAAGTCATTCTATCTATCTATCTATCTATCTATCTATCTATCTATCTATCTATCTATCTATCTATCTATCTATCTATCTATCTATCTACATAATTAACAATTCTATCTATCCATTTATACACACTATTAACAAATCTATCAATCTATCTACACTTAACAATTCTATCTATAATCTATCTATTCATCCATCCATCCATCCATCCATCCATCTATACTGTTAACGATTCTATCTAGCTAATAATCAATCTACTTAATTAACAATTCTATCCATCTATAACATTAACAATTCTATCTATCTATCTACATAATAAACAATTTTATTTATATTTCTTTAACTTTAACGATTCTATCTATCTATACTGTTAATGATTAGATTTATCTACATAATTAACAATTCTATTTATCATGTATAACGTTAAAAATCATATCTATAACAACAACGATTCTATCTATATACTGTAGAGGTAAAGTTGGTTTTATAATAGCAGATTCAGACTTCCCCCTTAATAATATAATTTTGTAAAAGTATTATTTGCAAACTCTAAATAGCGAAATCATATTAGCAGCCAATGACTATCAAAGTACAACATTGCTCACGGTCAAATAAACAGTGTTAATGTTGATTTCAAGTCATACTGGCATACTAATTCTGATCGAATATTCAAAGTAACATGGCAAACAGTATAGAGAATTCTAAATGAACGTATGTGCGAATATAAAACCAACTTTACCTCTATTCATTTACATTTTACATTTACATTTAGTCATTTAGCAGACGCTTTTATCCAAAGCGACTTACAAATGAGGACAAGGAAGCAATTTACACAAATAAGAGCAACAATGAATAAGTGCTGTAGGCAAGTTTCAGGTCTGTAAAGTCTAAGAAGGGAAGTATTAGTAGTATTAGTTTTTTTTTTAGATATTCTATCTATCTATCTATCTATCTATCTATCTATCTATCTATCTATCTACACAAGTTAACGATTCTAGTTATCTATCTATCTATCTATCTATCTATCTATCTATCTATCTATCTATACAGTTAAGGATTTTATCTATCTATCTATATCTATCTGTAACATTAATGATTCTATTTATCAATCTATCTCTCATGTTAACGATGCTATCTATCTTTCTATCTATCTATCTATCTATCTATCTATCTATCTATCTATCTATCTATCTATCACCTTAATGATTCAATCTATCTATCTATCTATCTATAATTAAACATTTTACTCCAAAATGTTCTACATTTATAAACTGGAAAACATTATTATTGGTGTTTGTAGTAGTAGCAATAGTATTTGTTATTGTTACTATATTCATATCAATATCGCTTTATGCTGTCATTGATTCTACAACTAGTTTAATTGTAATAAACTGGAATAACGAATAATTTCAAATAAGCAATAATTATATTGATAATCACACTGAAATCTTACATCCAGCACTGTACATTTTATTAATATTGTACAAGTATTAGTAAAATAAGCAGTAACTTCTGAATGTTTAAAGCAAAAGAACGTAAAACCGGCTAAGCTATATGTTAAAGCTAATGTCAGTGACTTTGAATTGCTGGTCTTGAACATTTAGACATAAGCGTGTTTAAAAGGCTTATATACACAAGTGAGCCCGTCGGCTTTTTTATAAACGATGGTTTGTTTTGATTCTGTTAGCTGTTAGCTTCAGATGCTAATAGGAAGTAAAACTCTCACCTTGTCGATCGGAGCGGGTCGATGAGCAGCCAGTGAGCGCGCGAGAGAAAGCACAGTGTTAAAGTAAAAACCCCGCGACGTCCCTCTCGACGACATTATTCATTCAATATTTTAAAAAACGACAAACAAATATCTACATCTTAAAATGAAATGCTCGTCTGCTGACAGCGGATGAGAGCTGCAAATACGGAAAGCCAGAGCGCACATTTGACAAGGTCACTGCCTCTGTGTTAGTGCAGCATCATTTACGCTTCCGCTTTTTTCTTCTGACATTATAGTGCAATGATACATATGTATTTGACATCTATACCTTGAAGTTCACAAGTTAGTGAATGGTTCTTGTAATTACCATTTTTAAAAAATATTTTGGAAAGAATCTCTTTATCTCTTGAGAGTTTTATTATCTATCTATCTATCTATCTATCTATCTATCTATCTATCTATCTATCTATCTATCTATCTATCTATCTATCTATCTATCTATCTATCTATCTATCTATCTATCTATCTATCTATCTATCTATCTATCTATCTATTTATCTATCTATCTATCTATCTATCTATCTATCTATCTATCTATCTATCTATCTATCTATCATCTAAGAAAGGTGTTTATAGTGACTTTAAACGTGACATGTTTGTTGGTGCCAGAGGTCAGAGGAGAATGGCCAGACTGGCTCCAGCTGGTCTGCAGAAGAGCATGAGGCAGACTAACCTTGATGTGGATGGGCTACAGCAGCAGAAAACCACACCGGGTGCCACTCCTGTAACTAAGAACAGGAAACTGAGGCTACAATTCACACAGGCTCACCAAAACTGGACAATAGAAGATTGGAGAAACGTCGCCTGGTCTGATGAGTCTCCATTTCTGCTGCCACATTCAGGTGGTTGGGTCAGAATTTGGCTTCAATAACATGAAAGTAGGGATTCATCCTGCCTTATATCAACGGTTCAGGCTGGTGGTGGTGGTGTAATGGTGTGGGGGAGATTTTCTTGGCACACTTTGGGTCCATTAATACCAATTGAGCATTGCATCAGTGCCACAGCCTACCTGAGTATTGTTGCTGATCATGTCCATCCCTTTATGACTACAGTGTACACATCTTCTGATGGCTACTTTCAGCAGGATAACACTCCATGTCATTAAGCGTAAATCATCTCAGACTGGTTTCTTGAACATGACAATGAGTTCACTAAACTCAAATGGCCTCCACAGTCACCAGAACTCAATCAAATAGAGCACCTTTGAGATGAGATGGAACGGGAGGTTCACATCATGGATGTGCAGCCAACATATCTGCAGCATCTGCGTGATGCTATCATGTCAATGAGGACCAAAATCTCTGAGGAATATTTCCAGTACCTTGTTGATTCTGTGCCATGAAGGATTAAGGCAGTTCTGAAGGCAAAAGGCGGTCCAACAAAGTACTATTAAGGTGTACCTAATAAAGTGGCCGGTATATATATATATATATATATATATATATATATATATATATATATATATATATATATATATATATATATATATATATATATATATGGAGTATGCTTAATTTATTTTGGAATATGAAACAAAACAGACTCATTTTGAACAGTCAGCATAATTTATTTTTAATTACAACATGAGCTGAAGGCACACTGTATACATTTCTTTTGTTCACAATTGTAATGCATATTTTAGGTCACACGTTTGGAATGCATTCACAGAAACACAAAATAAAATCCTATGTTTCTCCCAGTGTCGTTTCCTGGCCCAACATGGGTCAGCTAAGCCATACTGTACACAAAATCCCCCCTCCCAAAAAACACCATATCAAGTTTTTGGCTGAAGCGTGGTTATCTTTCAGATACATGGCGCTACAGTATATCTAAAACATGTCTTTCAACTGAGTCAAGAACCACAGGCACAAATGATATTTTGTAAAATTCCCATAAAACTTCCATAACGATGTGCGGACAGGGCAAAATACATATTGTTCATACTCTAAAACAGTTGCATACTACAAGTTAAGCCACTGGAGTTCTCAGGTCTGGTGTGAACACTTTGATTTACAACCGAAAAGTGAGCTTTAAGGTGACGTAGTTACACACATTACATAAGTAATTACAATGAATTATGCATAACCCTTAACCCAACCAACATTCTAACCTCAACCATATAGTAAAGTACATGTAATTAATTAATGGTACTCAGTAGTTAAATCAATAGTTATATCATAACCACGTCACCTTAAAATAAAGCGTAACCTCACTTTCTCCAACCCGTTACATGTCAGTCTGCGGTATAATTCTAGATGTTGGGACACCATATAAAACCCGCTGAATATTATACCTCTGTAAGTCTTTACAGATTTGTAAGAATGTCTTGAGGTAGCAGGAGAAAGAAACTAAAGAAATAAGCACGCTGAATCATTTTTAAGGCTTGTACTGATTCGTGATCAGCGTTTAAGAGGTTCTGACCAGATCTGTCCCACATAGAAATCTAATATATGGTAATTTATGCAAATTATGTAATTAAATCTGCATATTTTACATACAAGGTCCATATTTGGATTTCACGTAAACTCAGAAAATGACTCTTGCTGCTTGTTCTAACCACTTATTTAAAATGAGCTGTAACAACACAATTGTTACGCTGTTCACACCAGACGTGGCACGCATAAATAATTCATGCTATTCACGTGAAAATATACGAGTAGACATTTTAAGTTTACTTGCTTCATTCTCGCATCAAATTTGCTTTGTTTGTGTGTCTAATTCGCTTCATTCCCGAGTCAAATTCGTTTTATTCGCACGTCAAATTCATTCGTTTGCGTGTCAAATTCGATACATTTGCGCATCAAATTCGCTTTACTCTCACGTCAAATTCCATTTTTAAAAAATATTTTGGAAAGAATCTCTTTATCTCTTGAGAGTTTTATTATCTATCTATCTATCTATCTATCTATCTATCTATCTATCTATCTATCTATCTATCTATCTATCTATCTATCTATCTATCTATCTATCTATCTATCTATCTATCTATCTATTTATCTATCTATCTATCTATCTATCTATCTATCTATCTATCTATCTATCTATCTATCTATCATCTAAGAAAGGTGTTTATAGTGACTTTAAACGTGACATGTTTGTTGGTGCCAGAGGTCAGAGGAGAATGGCCAGACTGGCTCCAGCTGGTCTGCAGAAGAGCATGAGGCAGACTAACCTTGATGTGGATGGGCTACAGCAGCAGAAAACCACACCGGGTGCCACTCCTGTAACTAAGAACAGGAAACTGAGGCTACAATTCACACAGGCTCACCAAAACTGGACAATAGAAGATTGGAGAAACGTCGCCTGGTCTGATGAGTCTCCATTTCTGCTGCCACATTCAGGTGGTTGGGTCAGAATTTGGCTTCAATAACATGAAAGTAGGGATTCATCCTGCCTTATATCAACGGTTCAGGCTGGTGGTGGTGGTGTAATGGTGTGGGGGAGATTTTCTTGGCACACTTTGGGTCCATTAATACCAATTGAGCATTGCATCAGTGCCACAGCCTACCTGAGTATTGTTGCTGATCATGTCCATCCCTTTATGACTACAGTGTACACATCTTCTGATGGCTACTTTCAGCAGGATAACACTCCATGTCATTAAGCGTAAATCATCTCAGACTGGTTTCTTGAACATGACAATGAGTTCACTAAACTCAAATGGCCTCCACAGTCACCAGAACTCAATCAAATAGAGCACCTTTGAGATGAGATGGAACGGGAGGTTCACATCATGGATGTGCAGCCAACATATCTGCAGCATCTGCGTGATGCTATCATGTCAATGAGGACCAAAATCTCTGAGGAATATTTCCAGTACCTTGTTGATTCTGTGCCATGAAGGATTAAGGCAGTTCTGAAGGCAAAAGGCGGTCCAACAAAGTACTATTAAGGTGTACCTAATAAAGTGGCCGGTATATATATATATATATATATATATATATATATATATATATATATATATATATATATATATATATATATATATATATATATATATGGAGTATGCTTAATTTATTTTGGAATATGAAACAAAACAGACTCATTTTGAACAGTCAGCATAATTTATTTTTAATTACAACATGAGCTGAAGGCACACTGTATACATTTCTTTTGTTCACAATTGTAATGCATATTTTAGGTCACACGTTTGGAATGCATTCACAGAAACACAAAATAAAATCCTATGTTTCTCCCAGTGTCGTTTCCTGGCCCAACATGGGTCAGCTAAGCCATACTGTACACAAAATCCCCCCTCCCAAAAAACACCATATCAAGTTTTTGGCTGAAGCGTGGTTATCTTTCAGATACATGGCGCTACAGTATATCTAAAACATGTCTTTCAACTGAGTCAAGAACCACAGGCACAAATGATATTTTGTAAAATTCCCATAAAACTTCCATAACGATGTGCGGACAGGGCAAAATACATATTGTTCATACTCTAAAACAGTTGCATACTACAAGTTAAGCCACTGGAGTTCTCAGGTCTGGTGTGAACACTTTGATTTACAACCGAAAAGTGAGCTTTAAGGTGACGTAGTTACACACATTACATAAGTAATTACAATGAATTATGCATAACCCTTAACCCAACCAACATTCTAACCTCAACCATATAGTAAAGTACATGTAATTAATTAATGGTACTCAGTAGTTAAATCAATAGTTATATCATAACCACGTCACCTTAAAATAAAGCGTAACCTCACTTTCTCCAACCCGTTACATGTCAGTCTGCGGTATAATTCTAGATGTTGGGACACCATATAAAACCCGCTGAATATTATACCTCTGTAAGTCTTTACAGATTTGTAAGAATGTCTTGAGGTAGCAGGAGAAAGAAACTAAAGAAATAAGCACGCTGAATCATTTTTAAGGCTTGTACTGATTCGTGATCAGCGTTTAAGAGGTTCTGACCAGATCTGTCCCACATAGAAATCTAATATATGGTAATTTATGCAAATTATGTAATTAAATCTGCATATTTTACATACAAGGTCCATATTTGGATTTCACGTAAACTCAGAAAATGACTCTTGCTGCTTGTTCTAACCACTTATTTAAAATGAGCTGTAACAACACAATTGTTACGCTGTTCACACCAGACGTGGCACGCATAAATAATTCATGCTATTCACGTGAAAATATACGAGTAGACATTTTAAG